GGATTTCATTTTGATCCTCTGGGATTAATATGCCTCTCAGCTTGCCATTGTCACTTTTGAAAGCCTTCCTGTGCCTATGACATTGGTAAAAATCTTATACAACTTGGAATTCTATTGCATGCCACTAAATTCCTACTTAGAGGGTGATATCATTGGATTAATCAGCACACTTTGGGTTCAATTAAGGGTAAGCACTCCAAAATCCCATGACCTGGATTATGATCCTGTTTCTAAACACCTTCTTGTTGAGACTTTTAGTAAATTACTGATCCTTTTCAGGTGTATTTCTTTAACCATTAATTAGACCTAAGCATAGTAGGTACCTCATAGTGCTGTAAAGAAAAAATTAGTTAATATATTTAAAGTGCATAATATAGATTCTAGTACATCAAAACAACCACAAAAATAATAGCAAATCAAATCATAGATCATATAACTGACATTTTCCATGTTTTCTATGATATACATACTAATATTTTATGAGATATATCAATAGAACTTATTAATAACCAAAAAGCCAAATAAGAACAAAGAAATGAGGTAAAGTCCATATGGCTTATTCTTATGATTCCATGGCTTATAGGGTCGAAGCCTGTGTTCCATTGAGGATTATTTGCTCACTGGTTTCACAAATGATTCCAAAATTATCATTTGATCCGTTAGAGAATTTTGTGAGATACTAATGTCCAACTTATTTTTAAATTTTTTTTAATAAAATTGATTGGGATTAAATGCATGTGTGCTCAGGACCCACATAAACATTTAATTTCAGAAACCACCTGTATGGTTAAAGAACAACAAAAGTGTTTTTACCTTCTCAGTGCCTTCTAGATCAAAGTATTGTATGAGTAGAAGCTGTCTTCCACAGAGAGTCCTGCTTAGATTCCAGTATATGATGCATTCTCCTCACCTGCTTGTTAATGCTCTAGGACCATCTGATCCCATTTATTCATTCATAATTACACCTATACTTTTCTTCTTTTGGCAACTTGTGATATAAGTTTTGTGGCAAGAATGCCTTAGTTTTAAGAATTGGTGAAAGGATACACACTTAAATATCAAAGATTTACATACACATACATATATATATTTTTAGGACTCTGAAGTTGATCCTGAGAAGTTTTCCAGTAGGATAGAATGTGAAAATCCAAACAATGACCTCAACAGATTCCGAGGCTTCCTGTGAGTAATACATGACTTACCTTTGTAGGTGTGAGTGTAATCGTGTGTTGCAATTATATTTAAATTGATAAAATTTTTGTTTTATGCATACACAATTTAAATTGCTAAAGTTCATACATTTTGCCACTTAAAAATTTGGCTTATTTTAATAATTTAGTAAATATTTACATATTCATGTTTTAAAAACAACCAAACCTTGTTCTTATAATAATCCTGTAATCTCAGTGGAGTAAGAATGTTTACCATAAGCTCCATATCAATCCTAAGACGTTGTTTGAAAAGAGGCGTATGGGCAGAACTGACAACTTAAGTGACATGATAGGATCAGGTAGACAGTCCTGTGGCAAAAGTTAACCAATTATTTGGAAACATGTCTAAAAAAAATTGTGGGAAGCCATAATAGTATTCATTCTGGAGGCATCTTGTGGCATCTATATTCATTTTTGCAAAGGCAGCTAGAATTTGGGGTCTTACCTAGTTTCAGACCTGGCTTCTACCACTTTAAATGCTTTTTGCCTTGAGTCAAGGTATTTACTCTTTTTGATCTTTGTTTCCTGATTTTTAAGAGGAGACAATTAGGCATACTTCATAGGGGTAATCTTGCAAGAAAATGGTAGAGAGAAGAGAAAAGTTCTCCACTCAGTTTTTGAGACCTGAATTACCCTTCTACCCTTACCGTAATACCAAAAGTATACAAAGGTACTTAGGGAAAGATCAATATCCACATGAATATAAATGTAAAAATTCTATGCAAAATTATAGCAAAGCAATCCAATAATATATAAAAAGGATAATACATCATGACCCAATGGGACCTATCCTAAAAATGCAAGGTTGATTTAACATTTGAAACTCCAACAATGTAGTTCACCATATTATCAAACTATAATTAACAAATTTAAAAAAAAGATCCATTTCATAGATGTAGGAAAACATTTGACAAAATCTAACTTCCATTCTAGCAAAATGTTTTCCAAAGTGGTTGTACCATTTTATAGTCCCATGAGTAATACAGTTATATTCCAGCTCCTCTACATCCTAACATTCATAAGGCATAAAGCATTAGATATAGTCTAATTTAAATGCTTTTACCCTAAAATCAGGAAGAAGACATGGATATTTGCTCTCACCACACTTTTGTTCAGGATTATAGTAGAGGTTCCAGCTGTACAGTATAGTCAAACAAGAGAAGGAAATAAAAGTTATCAAATAAGAAAGAAAGAAAACTGTCTTTTGTCCACAGATGATACAATAGTTTTTGTAAAAAATCTGATGAAACCTATAAAAAGCTACTAGAATTAAGTGAGCTTAGCAATATCATAGGAAGCAAGATCAACACACAGAAATCAATTGTATTTCTATATACTAGCAATGAGCAGATATTGAAATTTTTAAAAATGTAACTTCCAATAGCATCAGACAAAATGAAATACTTGAGGATAAATCTGACAAAAGATGTGGCAGACCTGCACACCAAAAACCACTGAGCACTGCTGAGAGACAGGGAAGATCTAAGGAAGCAGAGAGATGTATATTGTTCATGGGTTGAAAGATTCAATATTGTTATATGTCACATTTTCTCCAAATTGCGTAAATTTCTCCAGATTCAGTGTGATCCCAGTTTAAATCCCAGCAAGGTTTTTTTTTTTTTTTTAGAAATTGACAAGTTTATTCTAAAAATTTATGTGGAGATTCAAAGGACCTATAGTAACTAAAACGACTTGGAAAAGAAAGAACAGATTTGGAGGGCTAACACCACCTGATTTCAAGACTTCTTATAAAGGTACAACGATTAAGCTAGTGTCATTCTGACATAAAGATAGAATACATCAATAGAAAAGATTGTCATCTAGAAAGTGACCCACACATTTACGGACAACTGGTTTTTGACAAAGATGCAAAGGCAATTTAGTGAAGAAAGGTTAGTCTTGTGAACCAGTGATGCTGCAATAATTGGATTCCAAATGAACTTTAACCCATACCTCTTAACATTAAAAAAAATTAACTGAAAAATGGATCCTATCCTTAAATGTAAACCTAAAATTCCTGTAAGAAGACAGGGACAATCTTTGGTACCTTGGATCTATGTATCTGATAGAGGACTTGTGTTCAGAATACATAAAGACATCTCAAAACTCAGTAATAAAAAAAACAAATGCAGTTTTTTAAATGGTCAAAATCATTTGGGCAGACACTTCACCAAACAAGATATATGGATGACAAATACCTGTATGGAAAGATGCAAGTTAAAACCACAGAGCTACAACTGAGGATGTAGAGGAAATGGAACACTTATATACTGCTCACTGGAACATAAAATGGCACAGCCACTTTGGAAAATAGTTCGGAAGTTTCTCAAAAAGTTAAACATATGCCCACCATATGATCGGACTATTCCACTCCTACGTAGTTACCCAAGAGAAGAGGAAACATTAGTCCATACAGTAACCGGTACACAAATATTCATAGCACCTTTATTTGTAATAGCCAAAGACTGGAAACAACTAAAATGTCCACCAAGTGAATGGATAAACTGATTGTATATATATATACAATGGAATTCTTCTCAGCAGCAAAAAGGAACTCACAAGTGATACAGGCAACAACATGGGTATATCTCTAAATAACCATGTCGAGTGAAAAAAGCCGGCAACAAAGAATATATACAACTGGAGTTATTTAGCCTCTCGAAAATGAAAGCTAATTGATAGTAAGAGAAAGCAAATTAGTGGGTACCTGGGTTATGTGAGAGAGGGAAGGATGGACTACAAAGAGGCATGAGGAAGCGTTGAGGGGTGATGAATGTGTTTCCTGGCATAGTTGTGGTGGTGGGTGGGCCCCACTGGGACAGGATGTATTCTCCATGTTCTCTCCCCTCAGGTTCTCTCCTTCTCAGTGAATGGACTTCCCTGAGCTGGCTTTGTTAACGTCTGTATTGAGAGCTGGCTTCAGCAATTTTCAGGGAAGCGTTTAATGAGATAATCAGTCCAGGTAGATAGAGTGGTTTCCTGTGGGATTATTTTTACCCACAAAACTAACTCCTTATCCTTTTTCCTGCTTTGCAATCTATTTTCTTAAAATCAACAAAAATTGAAACGATCAAGCTCATTCTCTATATTATGCTTTCTCCGACATTCTTAGTCTCAGGTAGAACTGACTTCCTCCCTATTTGTGCCCACACTGTAGGCAGAATATCAGATTTCTATCATGATATCTGTAATAGTTTATTATCTATGTCAGTCACCTCCTCTTAGACCCCAGAAGCCAAACCTGTCTGCTTTCTGTCCTCAGCATCTGGGTGGGAGTGCTGGACACACAGTCGATGTTACATAGGATCTTGAGTGGGTGAGAGCTCTGTGTGGCCAGTCAGTGCTTCTTATAAAACCCAAAGGACCCAGGCCAGGAGTGCCAGATACTATACAACAATCAAGTACAGGACATGTTTAGTATTTGGGGCAGGTGCAGTCAAGGTAGAAACTGGGCTTTGATCTAATTATGGTAAGTTAGAGTGATATAATGATGAAAAATAAGGATCCCAGGGAATTAATACTTACTAAAGAATTTTGGAAATGATGCTTTCATATGTTGAATCTATTCCTATAATGGTTCTAGGAATAACAAATGCATTGTTGATGAGGATTATGTGGTGGTTGCTTGAGAATTCTACATGGAAATGTAAATAATGGGACTTAATTTTCTAGTGAGTAGAATTAGATCAATGCCTGCCTCTCCTTTTACCTCCATGCCATTCAGTTGTTGAATAAACCAGGTCATTTTGCCTGCTGAGTTTTCAGTATTTTGGATTTGGCTAACTTCATTCTCACAGTGGTGATGAACATGTGTCTCTGACCCTCTTATTTCTTATAAACTGGCCAAGGGGCAATTTCATAATCTCATGAAAGAAATGGTTTCTGTCCCTAGAAAGTGACAAATGTATATATGCACATACACACACACACACACACACACATGCAGGAAATATTGCACACGATTTCAAAGGCTTCACAGATTCCCCTAACACCACAGACCCCAGGTGGATTTGCCCTTATAGAGACTTGTTTAGATTCTGTGGAGACAGCCACTCCCTATTCCATAATACCCAGAAGCCTGTGATGTCCCCTTGTCCCGTTGGTAGTTTGGTTAAGATTGGTGTCAACCTTATCCTTTCATTGTAAAGTTCCCTATCAGCCTTTTATCTAAAGATTTGGGAAGCTAGTGATTGTTATTACCTTGAGTGATCCTTAATTTTCTAATTCTGTCAAGAACTTTTCCCTCATCAGCTATTAAGTTACCCTAAAACACAGTTTGTACTAGAGAAATAGGTTCCTTATTTGGAATATTTTTGAGTTTTTATTTATAGTTTTATTTATAGTACTAGAAGTTTGCAACAATGAATAATAGAAAACAGTGGCACTTAGAAACTTACTGCATTGTTTTCCCAGCCAAAGCAGGTAACTCTGAAATAAGAAAAGCAAATGGGCCAGAGATTTGAAACCTTCCCGGTAAACAGCCAAAATTAGTACTCCGGTCAAGACAATGTAAAAAACTATGATTTTTATTTTTACACCCACACTTTTGCTATTTAAAAATAATATGCTGTCTTTCTTGCAGAGAACATTCCAACAAAGAACGCGTGGGTCTCAGTAAAGAAAATGTACTGCTCAGAGGGTGCACCGTCAGGAACACAGAGGCCGTTGTGGGCATTGTGGTTTATGCAGGTTTGGTTACACTTCTCGCTTTTTACCATTGCCTCCTCTCTGCTTTTCTACCAATTAACATTTTCTACTTACTCAAAATGCAGTCAACAAAAGCAGAACGGAAATTGTGTCTTGATAAACTTCATCATTGGTCTGTTGTTTTTTTTTCTAATGGATCACAAAAGCAAATTAAATTCACAAGACATATTATGTAACTACTCTTTATTAAACTGTCTGCCAGAGAAATTTTAAAGTATGACACGTCCCACCTGGCTTTCATCTGCACATTTTCTGACACGTTGTGTTACCTATGTAGGCCATGAAACCAAGGCAATGCTGAACAACAGTGGTCCGAGGTACAAGCGCAGCAAATTAGAAAGAAGAGCAAATACAGATGTCCTCTGGTGTGTCCTACTTTTGGTTTTGATGTGTTTCACTGGTGCACTGGGTAGGTAAACGTGGACTCTTTGCTGACATTGTTTCATCAAGATATTTTATTCATTTAAAAGTATTTTATTTTCAAAATGATATTTATGAATGTTTGACTTATGTAAGGGAGGATTTATTTGCCAAAATGCATTCCTCACATCTTTTTCTCTCTCATTCTCTGCCCTAAAAGCAGTATGTTGATTATATCCAGTTACATCTGGCCCCAGTACAGAAGGGACCGGGGAGCAGATTTAAAGAGAGGGAGACAGAGACTATGTAGCCTTTTGAATTTGCATTTGTTTCCCAAAACAAACAATTGATGTTCAACCAGAAGAAATACCTCATCCCTTTTAGGAATAGGGTTCTATATTTATATAATGTATAATATATATGTAGCATCCTTTTGATGTCTGTGTTTTTTGAAAGGTCATGGAATCTGGTTGAGTAGATATGAAAACATACTCTTCTTTAATATCCCTGAGCCTGATGGACATGTCATATCACCAGTGTTGGCAGGATTCTATATGTTTTGGACCATGATTATTTTGTTACAGGTAATTTCTATCAAGCTTTTCATAGAATTTTAAGACTTTTGCTTCTTATCTAGCTATATTCAGTATCTCATCCTTTCTTTTCCCCCTTTAACATTTTTAAAAATTGTTTGGTTCTTCTTAGGTCTTGATTCCCATTTCTCTCTATGTTTCCATTGAAATTGTGAAGCTTGGACAAATATATTTTATTCAAAGTGATGTGGATTTCTACAATGAGAAAATGGATTCTACTGTTCAGTGCCGAGCCCTGAACATCGCCGAGGATCTTGGACAGATTCAGTACCTCTTTTCTGATAAGACAGGAACCCTCACTGAGAATAAGATGGTTTTTCGAAGATGTAGTGTGGCAGGCTTTGATTACTGCCATGAAGAGAATGGTGAGTGTTAGGTTTCTGTCAACCTTAAGATTGGTCTTTTTTACACAAATCTGATTTGATAATTTTGTCATAGAAGTGCTTTATTAAGCATTGGCTGCTTAACTCATCCAAACAGACATTAAGCGTCATTGGTGTTCCCTCAAAAGTTAGTAAGTCAAAGTTAAGGAGTTTACTGGATGGTTCTTGAGAAGGAAAGTAAATTACCAGTGTGGTAGAAGGTTGGGAGTTGGGTATAGTGGCAATGATACTTCATTATATTTTTGAGAATCTAATGAAACTATGTACCATCTACCTAAGAAGTACCTTGAAAATAATTCCAAAGGGACTACAACCTTCCCATAACCTCATCATTCTTTCAGCTCATAGGTATCCATTGAGTCTTGGATTACAAACACTTACTTGAAAAATAAATAAAATGAGCTGAATTTCTGAGGCTAAGGAAGTAAATATACAAATTGCAAGTTTTCTTTAAAGGATAAAACTTCATTAACTTTATTATTTATAAAAGTAATGTGTACTCCTATGAAAATAATTCTGAGAAGCATATTAAACAAATTAATAGCCTTACTCTCTAGAAGTTAACCACCATAAACAATTTGGTGACAATATAACCATCCATTTCTTTATGCATATTCCTTCATATGTGAAATCTATATTTATACTTTTGCCTTTTATAAGTTAGGACATGTTATAATATTGTTTTGCAATTTGCTTCTTTTATTCAACAATATCTTTCTTCCAAATCAGTTCATAGTTTAACTTTAAGTGCATGGTATTACATTTTATGTGGCCAGGTTGAGTGGGCTATTAAATACTACTTGCAATTAACACACATACTCATTCAACAAATACTTTTTTGCCCTTAATATGTGTGACAAACGTCCCTGATCTCATGAAGCTTAGAGTGTAAGGGAAGAAGATGACAAGATTAAAAATTATGATATATAAAATAAAAGAAAATTCAACATACAATATGCATTTTGTACATATACATGGTACATTTCTAGAAGTGGTAATGCTGGATCCAGAAAAATGCACATATAAAATTTGTATAGCTCCTACAAAATTTACCACTGTTTACATTTTAGTGTATTTCTTCTGAATCTTTTTTCCCATACACATTAATATATTTGCTTTTTAAATAAAAATGGCATCTCAAGTGTTGAGCTTTTACTTTAATAATCATTTCTTAAGACTTCATCATGACTGCCTCTCCATTCTCTCCCTATTCTTCTAGTGTTAATGCTATACTGTATTGTAGTAATTGCCAAAATTTACATAACCAATCCACCATCAGTTCAGGTTGTCACAGTTATTGCTGTTAAAAATGCTGCAGTGAACATCCCTGAAGCTAAACCTCCACTCCCATTTTTGAGATCAGTATTTTCCAACATCTTTTGAGTATAGACTCCTATTTTCTAGGAATGTCTTCTACAGTAATGTTTCACAAAATATATGATGAGAAGCACTGCACTATTTTTCATATTTGTAGCATTTAAGAGGGTTTGTACAGCCCCATCCCACCGCAGTCCCTGAGCTTTCAGACTCCGGCCCAGTGACTACTCTTCTGTGGCCCCTCATGCAGAGAAGATACCCAGCAACTAAGAATCATATCCTGACTGAACTGTAATTGAAAAGATACCTGTTTGTGAACCCCAGGGTGTTGCACTACTTCTAGGAGGTGCTAACTTGGACTGTGAACACCTCTCTACTATAGACACACGCAGAGGTCCTGGTCTCTTTGCTGTAATGGTTTAAAAACAAGCATGTGCACATACACATGCACTTTTTTAATGCTGAAGGGGAGAATGGCACTACTCCCCAGAACTTCACTCTGGGATATATTATCTTCACTGAAATGAAAACTAGTTAAGCCCTCAGGATTTTCTGGCAAAAGCATTGCCTAGGAGATATTTCTACAAAGAGTATTGCTGCTAGGAAACAGTCTCTTATACATATGCAAGTGAATTTAAACACATTGGCCAACATCATTTTGTTTTAAAACCTTGCAAGTGAGAAATCTGGTACATGAATTAAGCAGCATCAGCAACAGCTGGGTGTGTATTAAAATGCAGAATCTCAGGCCTCTCTTTATAAAGCTTCAATCAAAATCTTAATTTAACAGTATCTTCCCAAGGGATTTATATGCATATTAAAATTTTTTAAGACACACCTTTAAAATATGGAAAGAGAATGACTTTTTAAATATGCTTTTTAGTTTAGAATAGTTTTAGATTTACAGAACAATTACAAAGATACTACTGAGGGTTCCAATGTGGCCCCTGCCCAGTTTCCCCTGTTGTTAACATTTCATATTAGCCTTATGATACCTTTGCCAGAAGTAATGAACCAATACTGAGACATCATTATTAACTGAGATCCATATTTTATTCATATTTCCTTAATTTTTATGTAACATTCTTGTCCTGTCCCAGGAGGCCACATAATATAGTTATTATTTAGGTTCCTCTAGATTTGACAGTTTCTCAGACTTCCCTTTTTTGAGTGACCTTAGGAATTCTGAGGGGCACTATTCTGGGATTTGGTCGAAGTGCCTCACTTGGGTTTCTCTGGTGAGTGCCTTTAGGATGCACAGTTTATGAATCTGAGGTACATGGTGGCAGCTTTTAGGAGTTTCCACCAACAAGGATTCTGGAGTCAGGCCTCTTGGTTCTGATTCACATCTTCAGTGCCTACAAGCTCTATGACACTGGACAAGTTTATGTAATTCTCTGAGCCTCAGTAACACAGATCAATTATAGTATCTACTTCATTGGATAAGAAAAGATAATTTGCAAAAAGGCATTTAGAGCATGGCACAAAGTAAGTTCTTTTGTAAGTATTGGCTACTATTATTGTTGGCATAATAAGAAATAATTAGTTGCCTTTGGGGAGTTTATGGTTCAATATGGGAGACAGACATGGAAACATAAAAATACCTTAAGTATTACAAGATTGAAGGCAGTGTTCTTGTTCCATATTGTTTTGATTTTCAGTCAGTTTTTGGGGTAAGTTTTGCACTTATCAAAGTCTGGGGCCATAGACAATATTGGACAAGAAATTTTTGGGATGCTGGAAATATGTGGGGAATTAGTTTAGATTAGGAGATTTGTGTATCAAGGATACGTGGGTGATACAGTTGGAAGACGCTCAGCTGAGTGAAGCAGGTGAAAGTTGGAATGCTGAAATGTTTGGGGGATTAGTTCACAGCAAAATGGCAGATATGCAGATGATAGAGTTGGAAGAAATTCATTGTGTGCGCTGTGCTGTTCACCTTGTTTTTGGCCCTTTGGAGAGCACACTGAAGAATGTGATAAACTCTGTTTCATAGCCTCACTCACACTTCTTCCAAATATCAAATAAATGTAAGTAATAGGCCATGAAGAGGTTACTGGATATTCTAAGAGGAGAATCGGAAAAGAAGATGGATGAGAGATTAAATAAGAAAAAAACATGACGTAGCTAACCTAATACCTAACTTTGAGACAAAGGAAGACTACAGACTTTGTATTGTCCCATTATGAGTTGGAACATTAGAATTCCTGCCCCACTTTGAGGCATTCATGGAACTAGTTAGGCCCTACTGTAAGGGACATCTGAGTAGTCATCTTGATAATTTGGATAGATTTTATCAGTATGATAATAAGCCTTTGTTTCTCATACCCAATTTTTGAAAAATTTTCACTGAGTCTAAAAGTGTTGCTCCAGTAGCTTTGTTTCTGATTCACATTGTAACTTTACTGGTCTGTTTACTTCCTCATAGCTTTCCACAAAATGATTAAAAGTTTACTCTGCGTCTTCATGATGCCACTCTTGCAGTGCTAATTAATTGAGCAAATTTGGCCTACAATAAGAGCTGAGCTATCTAGCATTATACTAATTACACAGTTGCATGATGACTGATTTCCCTAATGATAGCCGGGAGAAGTTCCTGAAGTATAGCCTTTATGTTTATAAATGTTTTATAGTACTTTAGTTATTTACTTAAAAAATGGTATCACCTCATCAATACATTTCTTTAGCTGCTCAAGTATTTATCCACCTCAGCACTATTGTCATTTTGGGCTGGGTTATTCTTTGTCATGTAGAGCTCTCCTGTGTATCATAAAATGTTTTAAAGCCTCTCTGGTGTCTGCCTGCTGAACACCAGTAGCCCTCATTCCCCCAGATGTAGTAACCAAAAGTGTGTATGTGCATTGCCAAATGTTTGCTGGGTGACAAATTTAACCCTTGTTGAGAATCACTGAGCTAACCGATTGTATATGCAAGTGCTAAGGAGGTACAACGCAGTAGATACCTGTCCTGGCTATGGAGTCAGGAAGACCTAAATCCAAATCCCATCTCTATCCCCAACTAGCTGATTACAGTGGTCAAAATAATTAGTCTCTCTGGATCTTAGTCTCTTCAGCTGCAAAGTGGAGCAGTGGTAGTTCCTACATGACAGCATTATTTTTCAAATGAAAAGGGAATATGTAGTTATAAATGTTTATATAAAGGACCTAGCTGTGTGCTCAGTGAAAAGGAGGTACTTAGTAAATGTTAAATCTATACATCTATACCATACAACTTTACCTTCCACTAGGAATATTTCATGTGTTTTCATACATTTGTTCACTATTGAATCAATAAATATTAATTAAACTATAAAACATGGACTCATTGAAATCAGAGGACATTAACCATGTAGAATGTTAAGGAATCATACATGCTAACATATAAGGCTCTATTTAGAAACAGTATAACAAGAGGACTCAGAGCAGTGGCTATGCAGTTTATAGAACTGGACATGTATCACTTTTGTGAGATAGGGAAAATTACTTAATTTTGATTTCTTTATTTCTAACATGGAGGTATCAATAGTGTCTACCTCAGAGGGTTGTTATAGGGATTAAAGAAGACAAATGCCTGGCACATAGTACCATTCAGTGGAGAAGCTATAAAGGCCCAGTGAATGAGAGCTGGTACAGTTACAGAGGTCATTACTGAGGAACTGACATTTGAAGTAAGCCTTTACAGATGTTCAGGATTTACGTATGTAGAAAGAAAGAGAATGGATATTCTGAGCGAGGGCACAAGTGAGAATAGAGAACTTCTGAATGTTTGGGGCACAATAAGTAGATGGGCTTTTTGAAGTTCCAAGGTCATACAGGGAAATATTCTGTATTATTTAGGCAGAGAATATAATGAAGCTTGCAGAACTGCAGAACTGGAAAGGATCTTGAAGTCATGGAATCTAAATTGTTTATTCCCCAATAAGAAAACAGGCCCAGAAAGAGAAAGTGATTCACTGGAAGCCCCTTGGTCATTGGAAGAGTGGGGTCAAGAACTCAGGATCTCCACATTGCTTCCTGGCCTCTCCTCCTTAAAAAATACAGACAAAACTATTCAAATAAACAGGGTATGCAAATATTCTTCATTTTATAAATTACCTTGCCAAAAGCCACACTTTATTCAGTAGCTAGACTTAGTCTGAACATGGACAACTAGCAATTCAAAAAGCATTTAACCGATTGTCTACTCTGTTTTCCTGATGCTGGGCATCATGATAAACAAGACAGACAAGGTCCCTGCTCTCACAGAGCTTCTATTGGAGAAAATAGACAACAAATAAATTAATTTTCAATTCAAGAAAAATATTAAATAATGAGAATTGCTTTGCAGAGAGTTAAAATGGGGTGATATGATATAGAATGATTGGCAGGCTACTTTGGATTGGATAGTCAGGCAAAGCCTCTCTAGGGGTTACAACTTAGATCTGAATAAAATAAATTTGAAGTTCAGAGGCAAAAGAAGCATCTAGTATGGAGGCCCTCAAGCTGAATGAGCTTGGCAATTTTCAAAGTAAAGGAAGAAGACTAGTGAGGCTGGATTTTAGTGGAAGTGTGGAAGGCGGAGGGACAAGAAAATGAACAGGTCAGCAGAGGTCATATCAGTTGACTTATGGAAGCCAAGATAGGAGTTTTATTCTAGGTGACTTGTGAAGCCACTGGACAGTTCTGTGCAGGGAGTGATCTGATCTGCTTTATGGTTTAGGAAGATCACTCTAGCTACTGTTTGAGGAATGGAGTGCAGAGAGGCAAGGAGACCAATCAGTCTTTTGCACTGGTCCAGTTGAGAGATGATGGTGGCTTGGACTGAGGTAATGGGGATGGAGAGAAGTAGAAATACTTGGGATATATTTTGGTTAAATAATGGACAGCTTTTGCTGATGCTTTGAATATCATGCCTGGGGAAGAAGAGAAGAATCAAGGAGAATCCTAGATTTTTGTTATAAATAACTAGGTAGATGATTAGGTGCCATTTACAAAGATGGGGAAGATCAGAGAAAGAGTAAGTTTGAAGAGGAAGAGAGGAAAAGTTCTACTTTGACCATGTCAAATTTAAGATATGTAGTGTTTATTTGTTCAGCAAGTATTTATTAAGTATCGATCAACTACTGCTTTGGGCTCTAGCAACAAAACAGTTGAAATTCTCTGACCTTTTGGAGTTTATATTCTACTGGGTGATTAGAAAAATAAAAGCAAATAAGATATTTAGTGTACAGCTGGTGGTGAGTGCTGGCATAGGGTTTATAATAGAATGATTAGAGCTGGGACATCCTCACTGACAAGGGGATGTGATAAGAGACTTGAGGTATGAGGGTGCAAGCCATGCGGTCATCTGCTTAAAGAGCCTCCTAGACATCCAGCTGGAGCTATCAAGGGGAGAGCTGGGTGTCTGAGTCTGGATTCCAGTTAGAGGTCAGAGTTGAAGGTATAATTTTAGAGGTCATGTACACAGAGATGCTACTTCCAAGATGACACAAAATGAAAGCATCAAGGAAGAGTAGATAGGTGGAGAAGGAAAAGACCTCCGGCAGCCACCCAGTATTTGAGGGCTGAGGAGAAGACAGCAGGAGAAACTAAGAAGAATGGCCATTGAAATAGGAGGAAAAACAGGTACACATGGTATTAAAAGAGCCATCTCAAGGAGAGAATGGTCAACTGTGTAGGATATTGCTAAGAGTTCAATTAAGACACAGATGGATGCGATCATTGGCTTTGGTAACGTGGAACTCAGTGGCAACCTTGACAAGAGCAGTTTCAGTGAAGAGACAAGGACAGAAAGCCATGAGTTCAGTTGAGGAGGGGTTGGTGTAAGTGACAGAAGGGAGAATTGTGAGGGTGAAGTCCATGAGAAGGCCAGAGGGACAGGAGGTAGGGTACCAGTGGAGGGCCTGTGTGACTTTCTCCATAGTTGCAGAGGGAAGAGAGAGAGTTTGAATACAGATGCAGATAGGTTGGTGGACTTGATGATGGGAAAAGAAGGTAGTTCCTGTCAGATAGGTTGGTGGACTTGATGATGGGAAAAGAAGGTAGTTCCTGTCTGATTGCTTTTACTTTTGTCATTGAGGTAAGTTCATTAAGGGTTTGGGGGGAGGGGAGTTTGGCAGCCAGTTCAAAAAGGGAGAAGATGGTGTGAAATAGCTATTTAAAGAAATGTGTGACATATTCACCTTGCAAGGGGTTCTTCTTAAGCAATGACCCAGTGTGCTTTTTGTCCCTCAGCCAAGAGGTTAGAGTCCTATCAGGAAGCATCCTCTGAAGATGAAGATTTTGCAGGTGCTCCCAGCGGCTCCCTCAGCAATATGGCAAAACTGAAGGCCCCCAGCTGCAGGGCAGTTCATAATGGGCCTTTGGGAAGTAAATCCCCAACTCATCTTGCTGGGAGCTGTTTTACTCTAGGAAGTGGAGAAGGAGCCAGTGAAGTGCCTCACTCCAGGCAGGCTGCGTTCAGTAGCCCCATTGTAAGTATGAATGCGTGACTTGAATCTTGCACGTCCAAAATGAATAGTGAAAGAACACCCTCATAGTTTCGACAGAGCCAAACACTGTTGTCTTCCCTATCTGAGAAGAGACTAGGTAATTGCAGTTCATGTGATTGCCTCACATAATTCAAATTATAAACAAATAATATCATAATATCCAAATTTGGGGGATAATTCAATGCTGAAAGATAGTATATAATTCCTGAAAAAACAGTTATTTCTGATCAAGGCCAGTCATTTCTGGGCCTGAAGAAGGTTGCCTTGGTTTAAGGATCATGACTCTCTCCCAGAACCAGCAAAGCTTACGAGAATTATTTAATAGACAGGTAAGTATGTGTAAATTATAGAGAAATGCAAAAGCCTTTAGGTACCTTCTAAGACCTTTTTCTATTTCTGTAGTCTTCCCCTAGATCCCACCAAACCTATGTTTTCTACCCCATTTCTAGTCTTCAGAATGACATTTGCTAATATATCCATTTCAGAGATTATTTGGATGTTTACTGAGTCCCAAGGGGAAGTTCTGGGGACACTTCTAGTCACACTTATTGACAAACTCATTTTGCTGCAGAAAAATACAGATGGAAGATGGGAAAAAGGAAAGATACATGTATGAATAGAGATCAAAAGTTTTGCTGTACTTAAAATGACTTCTATAAAATTTCAACTGTCTTTTCTTTCTTCCACAATTCATTAACTCTGTGTTTTACCAAGATGAGGATTCCCCAGCCATGGAACTGGTAAATGGTTGTGATCATAACATAGGTGACATAACAGAACAAATCAATCAGAGATTATTTGGATGTTTACTGAGTCCCAAGGGGAAGTTCTGGGGACACTTCTAGTCACACTTATTGACAAACTCATTTTGCTGCAGAAAAATACAGATGGAAGATGGGAAAAAGGAAAGATACATGTATGAATAGAGATCAAAAGTTTTGCTGTACTTAAAATGACTTCTATAAAATTTCAACTGTCTTTTCTTTCTTCCACAATTCATTAACTCTGTGTTTTACCAAGATGAGGATTCCCCAGCCATGGAACTGGTAAATGGTTGTGATTATAAAATAGGTGACATAACAGAACAAATCATCTTTGGGGACCTTTGTGTTTCTATATTGAATTTATTGTATGATTTTCATAAGAAAGACGTGATCTGAGTAGACCCCAGTGGTCTCATTTGTCCTAGAAAGGCCTGGAGGGGAATCTCCTGGCACTTTTTCTAAGTTGCCAACAAAAATCAGCAACAAAAGTGATCATTTCAGTACAATTCATTCATTTCCATGGCACTAGTGATATAAAACTTGTCATGTTGTATCTTTGTCATATGTCAGGTTATTCCAAACATCCAGACTTATTTTCTCCAGTTTTGGGGGGATAAAAGATACATATTTTCTTCTTTTTTATCTTTTCATCTATTGCTCTGCTGATCTTTTACACTTCCCACCCACCTGAAGTTAACCACATACTGACTCATGCTTCCATGGACGTGGTATGGTACCGGCAACCTGGTGGGACAGGACCTCGCTCTTGGTTTCCTGAGCCAGCCCCACTCTTTTTTTGGAGCAAATGATTGTTTGTTCATAATCATAACCATTTCCCCTGTTAAAATCTATTTTCCCCTCACAACCTACCTCTGTTTACCAAATCTGATGACATATTTATTTCTTTAAAAGCTACCTTAAATATACTCTCTTCTGAAGACTTCCCAGACCCTCTCTCCTCTCAGCTCTGAGTCCTGTGTACACATTTCCTCCCTCCCTTGGTCCTTGTTACATTGGCCTTATTTCTGCGTCTGACATACACCATTTGCTCCTTAAGAGCAAGGGCTTACTCATCTTGAATCCTCAACACTTAACTCAGGGTCTCACATGTCCTTTCTCAATAGAGCATTTCTGAAGGTTGCTTAATGAAGCTGCTTAGTAAGCTCTGTCTTCCTGTTCAGTCCATTTGTTTTTCCCTTGTCCTACACTCTGAGGCCCTGTGTCATTCTGATTACATAGGTGCTCTGGGGTGGTTGGTTTGTGTTTTCAATACCACACCCTTATATATAGGATAAAGAAGTCTTCCTTGAAATGTGAGATCATCTCTCACTCTTGCTCTGGATGAGTTGATTTTATCCTTTCTGGAGACTAAAGTTATTTTGAGGAAGCTATAGATCCTTGACCTCAAAAATTGGCAGTTGTAAAAATTTTGCACATGATTCCAAAAGCCCATCTGTGGGGCCCAGGTTAACACCAGCTTGAGAGCACACTGAGCTGTGATGTCTCAAAGTGGGAGTTTCTAAGATAGCACCTTTCATGGGACGCAAGTTGAGAGCCAGAGAGTGAAGGTCCCAGGCAGCATGCTGGCAGGCACGCCAGCCTTTGGGAGCTAGAATGTCACTGAGATCCATCAGTCCTGGGTTCATATTACCTGTGTTAGAGATTGGCTTACTTTGTAAGCCAATGTTCTCATGCTTCTTTAATTCTCTAGATGTTTTCGTTCAACAAGTATACTATCCATTCTACCTGGATTGCTGTTCTCTGAGGTCTTTGTATGGCTGTCTTGTTCCTGTCATCGAGGTCTCAGCTCAGATACCACCTCCTCGGTAGACCTTCCCTACCACCCAATCCAAAGCTCTTTCCATCCCCCACCCCATCTCTCTTTGTGTCAATGTAGAAGCAACTTATTTATTTCTTTATAGGTTAGTGTTCTGGATCTGGTGTCTCCTCAGCTAGAATGTGAGTTCCATGCAAGCCAGGGTCCTGTTTGTCCTATGCAGCCCACTTTCCTTGAGGAGTGCCTGACATTAAAGATCAATAATACAGATTTATGGGATGAATGAGTAACTGACAGATTAATGGAAGATAATGACACAATACTAGACACTGGGATATAAAATGAACAAGACATGCCCCCATTCTTTAATTTTGTTCTAGGCAGACATATAAATAAATAAATTATAATCCTATATTAAAGATGCAGTAATAGTAGTTCATCCAAAGTATAGTGAGGGCACAAAGAAGGGAGCGGTCAACTCTAAAGGGGTGAGGAGGGATCAAGAAAGGATGCACAGAAGAGGTAAAATTCGAGTTAGGAATACTAATGAGTAGGATTTTCCAGAGTATAAAAAGAAGGAAAAGTGTTTAGGGCAGACGGCATATGGGATGCGCAAAGGCTCAGAACCAAAGGACTGTGGAGGAGGAATGGACCATGTGTGGTTATTGGCTTTTGTCTCTTTCCTTCAGAACTGTGGTATTTAGGAATCTGAGGGAGCCAGAAGAGACATTTGTGTCCATACTTAAGCCAGAGGTGTAGAGGTGGACTGCTGAGCCCCTAAAACAAGTAGGGTGGCAGTGGGAACTGAAATAAAAACCATGGGTACAGGTGGAACTAGGGAAGGAGCAGGGAACAGTGTTAGGACCACTTGGTCAGCTTTATCTCCCTCGAGTGTCTTTAACCATTACTAAACCGTGGACACTTCAGGTTTGGCATAAACAATTAAAGAGGTTTCCTGTCATTCTCAGTTTTAAAACAGACTTAACATTCAGTATATATTAATGCCATCCAAAAACTTTAGTGAACACTGTTAGCAAAGAAGAGCTATGGCCAGTGTTTGGTTATTTCATTTGGATTTAAATAGGGAGAAGATAAAAAAAGGAACTTGAAAGTGAAATCTGCAACCTGGCAGGGAGGTATAACAGGACTCATGGGGGAAACCTAAAATTTGAAATAGTTGTCATATAACATTAGATCAAAGATGCTAGGCTCCCCACCATAAAACGGGTAAGGCTTTGTTTAATTATGGGAAGCTATCCATATTGTGCTCTGTGTATTATTTAATTAGGAGTATAAACTTTCTCTGCATTAAAAAGATCTATTTGAGGCCAAGTGGAAGAGGTTTATGGACTTGTTTCTAAAGAGTGGCATCTTTTTATTCTCATCCATTCCCTTCTTTATAGAATATAAAATCAGCAAGTGTTTGATCATGGTGAACAACAGTTAACTTGAATTGCTTGTCTGTGTGCCAGGTACTGAGTCAGGGATCCAAAGATGGATAAGATATGTCCTTCCTTTAAAGGAACTTACAGACTCTGTGGGGAGAGATGTACATGTGTGTGGGATGGTGGTATGGGCCTGGTTCTCAGGGTAATAAACATTCAGGGAAGTCAGAAGCTGTCCTTCAGAGAAAAAAAGAGCAAAAGTCAGCTATGTAATTGAGGAATCTCACTGAGGAAGGTCTCAGTGAGGAAGATTCTTAAAAAAATGCATATGGATACAGTCATATTAATAAGAATTGCATGTGATATTTCTATACTTTCCCCTCAATTCACCAATAAATATTTTAGTACTAGGGATTAAGTTATTTTAGAGAGACCAGCCAAAGTGGAGGAATGCTCCATGCCTTCACTTTGATAGAGAGCTTTCCTTCAGTCTTTGTCTTGGCTCTTTTATATATTATGATGGTCCTGAGTTTTTGGACTTTCTCACATTTATTTATAGGACGGTTTGTCCTCTGGCCAGCTCTACTCTCCCTTGTGTTCTCGTTGCTGTGGCATAGGCTCTCAGTCATGCAATATCCAAACTCCCAAACAATGTATTAGATTGACTTACGTCAACAGCGTCTACCACAGACATGGAAGGTATGAACCGTTCATTAGTCTTAGATTAACTTAGAAATCCAGGAGAATTCTTATGTTCTGAAGCCAGGTATCAGTCAATGAGGAGATCACTGATATAACAAAATCACTATTAGCTTCCGAGGTTTCTAATTCAATCCTAAATGTGTTCAGTGGAACAAATGTCTCTAAAAAATAAAATTTGAGAAGACTTTACATACTATCCTCTTCTTGGAGATTCCCAGCACCCACTAAACTCCCTAAGAAGTACTACAATAAGGAAACCGGTTTAATTTAAACATTTCTTAAACTTATTTCAGTATGGAACTCTTTGTTTTCTTGCTTAATAGTTATTAACATTCTGAGATGGATGCCCCTGAAAATATTGCTCCAGCCCAGGGAGTGTCACAAGCACTAGATGGCGGTAGGATCACAGGCCTTGATAAATGCCGGACAACAAATTCCCCAAGCCTCCCTCTGCTGACTCAAGCCCTGCGGAAAGGGTCTAAGGCCCAGCACTGGCTCAGTGTTACCATGAGTGTGAGTCTCATGAAGGTACATGGCTGACTCATTAATGAACAGCCATCAGATTTCGTGTGCCTGTGAACTCCATCAAACTGCTTGCCAAGTCAAATTTCACAGGACGGTAGATACTAATGTATTTAGGTAGAAATTTAAGAATGCTTGTGACAGCAGATAACATGGACCTTTAAAACCCATTGTGGGCCTGGTAACCTGCCTGAAGGTATGTCATTCTAGAAGGAAAAAGAACATTGAATCTTTTGGGTTCCTGGTGTACCTATCTCATCTCATCTTGCTCATCATCTCACTTACTTTATATACCCACCCTGGGAGGTACATGGTATTTTTCCCATTATCCAGAAGTGGAAAGTGAAGCTCAGAGGGTTAAGTAAGCTGCTTGAGGCCACTGGCTAGTCTGCAGTGTGTCTAGGACTTGAATGCAAACCCATATGATCTACAGCCTGTGTTCTGTTCTTATTAGGCCTGTGCTACCTCTCACCAAACCCATAAGCATAAATGAGAAGCCACAGTCTTCCAAGTAGAATATCTCACATCTGCATATTTTACTCTTTACTCTGAATTACCTCTCCTGGCTTTCCTGCAGTCAGTACGTTTTGCCAGCCAACTAAATCCATGGCTTCTCTAGGATACAGTGGCACTTCTGTGAAAACTTGATTCAGAACAGATGGTAGTTCTTTTGACTCATGGAAAACTTCTAAAGTAGTTGACCATGTTAACAGATTACAAACAGATATCTACAACAACTTCTTTTCTTAAAACTGATGCTCCTAAGTGTGAGAAGCACTGTCACACAAAATGAAGTATTTTTTTTCAATAACAACTTCTGAGAGCCAGTTGTACTAAGCATCTTTAAGAGGGCACAGGACATAGTATCAAATATATTTGATTATCAGAAATGTTTTGGAGGAATGCTTATTATTGTTTCATAGAATATTACTAGGAAATGCTTCATAGTAGTTAGCCTGCTCACAGTAATTTTTATCTTGGAGAGTTAATTTTTTTTTTCCACAGTGGTAGTGATATGAGCTGTAAAATATTTTGTAAAAATAACACAGTATGATTAATGCCCTTACTTTAAAAAGGGTTGATACTCTTCAGTTCCTGTTGGCTGAATCAATGCCCAAGCTAGAATCCTAGACACAATAAAATATAGCTCTGGCATTGTGTATTCCAGAAGAAAGACTTATTTACTTAGATTATAGTGAAAGGTGTTGTTCCTACTTCCTATGCAGTTTAAGTTAATAGTCAAGATAGTCTCCATTAACAATTTTTTCCATTTATTTTTTGTTCATTGTTTTCCTATTCTCACTTCTCATGTAACCATATACATTAAATATTATTTTAGAGGAATGAAGTTCACTATCTTATGCTTCATAGATTCTGATTAAAATAGCTACTTCTCATGTGGATAAGAAAACCTCTCATTTTTAGATAATTACTGTAACAACACTTTGTCTTATTGGATCTTCAGGAAACAGATGTGGTACCAGACACCAGGCTTTTGGACAAATTTAGTCAGATTACACCTCAGTTTTTTACCCCATTGGATGAGACTATTCCAAGTCTGCCACTGGAAACTTTGTACATTGTCGACTTCTTTATTGCATTGGCAATTTGCAACACAGTAGTGGTTTCTGCTCCAAACCAACCGCGACAAAAGGTAAGGTCTCTAATGCAAAGGTCACCTTCCAGAAGAGAGCTTTGGATTCAATATACTGTGGTCCTGTTGTATGGATGAGGAGGAGGATGACAGCAGCTAACCTTTATCCATCACTTAATCTGTTTTCTGCATTACGATGTTCTAAGTGATTTACTGGTATTAACATGTTAAATCCCACAAACCCATGAGTTAGATACTATTCCTCCTACTGTTGAGGTTAAGTACCTAGCCCAGGGTCACATGACTGATTTGTCGAGGAGGTGGGATTTGAACCCAGAAAGTATGGCTCAGTGCTATGATACTATTTTGTCTCTAGGAGGATACCTGATGAGGGCAGTTCTTATGGAAGGTGACTTTGTTCATTTTCCTTCAGTTTCCTTACCAAACTGAAGCTTTGAGACTTCTGAAACTTCTAACATCAGATGCACTACCTCAAGCAAAATATAAAGTATTGGGTTCATTACCATGTTTAATGATATACCTTTTTCATGTACCAGTTGGGGTAATTTTAACTCAATCCATTTAAAATCCAGTACATTTATAACATGCCAAGGTTCTGAAGTGCCCACAAAAATGGATTTTTAAAGTCTATTTGTAGCTTAGAATTCATGGAAAATTCATTTTCAATTAAAAAGACAAACTTGTTTTAGAGGCTGGTGATTCACCATTTGCTATGCTGTGTTCCCCGTGTGTAACCATCTCCTCTTTTGCATACATCCACTTAAAATTCCATTTGCAGTACAATCCAATTAAATTTAAATTTTTCATCAGATCATTTTCTTATGGCAACTTCAGAGGTGGTCAACTTTAACATAAAAATAACCTACTTCCAATTAAGCTTTCATTTGATTAGAGACTGTATTTTTATAAGATTCTGACTTGAGTGTTGCTCTTTAAAAAGTGATTATATAAGTAGAGAATAAATCACTGGATATTCTTTTCCTCCCCATATGATCATTTTTCTCATACATCCATTTCCAAAGTAGGCATCTTTTGGTATTTTTTTGTTTAAGAAATACCATTGCTTTATCCCCCAAAATATAATATTCTATGGTCTGAAAGAAAATTCTCTGTAGGCATATAAGAGCCTTAGCTATATGATTTTTCAAGGTAGTGATAGAAAGGCAGTGTCCGAAGAGCCAATCAGAATCCACATGGAATACAGAAACTTCAACTGTGATTGAGTTTCACTCTTCATTTCTGAGTTGCTAATAAGTTTGAAAATTGGTCAGCATGAGTCCCTCAACCTATCACAAAATTAATAATGTTTAGGAGAAAACAATTTAATTCTTTGGGCACTTCTGAATGAGAAAATTTTATGATCCAATTATCTTCATGATTAATAATAAATCCTAAGTTTAATCACCGATAAAAATAGAGCAAGGAAGAAAAATCAGGCTACAAAGAAAGAGTTCTATAAAAATAGAAATTCAAATTCATATTATGATGTTATAATTATTCTCCCATAAGCTACTTTGGTTACTAGCCTTTTTAAAAAAAAAAAATAATCAAGTAACAGCTTTTCATAGACTCTGGAAAATAGAAGGAAAAAAAGACACTTTGTTAACCTTTTGATTTACTTTCTTCCAATGTTTTCCATTTGCACTTACACTGTTCAAACTATTTTTATAGCTTTTCCAATATTGCCCCATAGTTTTTTAAACTTTATTTTTCAATACTGTACATTCAAGAAGGTTTTTTATGTTATTATTGAATACTTAATTTGCATATAATTTTAAATTGTTATTGCTAGGATCTACTTATATTTTAAGTTATTTCATTATGAAAAATTGCTGAAAGTATGTCCACTGCTAGCAATATTAACAATTTATGTCTATCAATTGTCAGATTTCTTCCTGAATGGTTATAGAAATGTATAAAGCTATCAACAGTAACATATGTTTTTCCTCATAGCTTCTTTTTTATTTTTATTAATGTTTTCCATGTCAATTTTCAGTATGAAGCCAGCTGCTAGCTATTTAAGTACTGGTAACTCTTCTCGTATCTATTTTTTTCCCAATTTGACTTCAAAGTTGTTATAAATTGCTTTTGACTGCGTTACTGAGACCTTACTAAATTATCTTTCTTAGATTGGACTCTCTTCACTGAGTGGAATGCCCATTAAGTCCTTGGAAGAGATTAAAAACCTCTTCCAGAGATTGTCTGTGCGGAGATCAAGCTCACCGTCTCTTGCCAGTGGGAAGGAGCCATCTTCTGGGGTCCCAAACCCCTTTGTGAGCAGACTCTCTCTCTTCAGTCGAATGAAACCTGTTTCACCTGTGGAGGAAGAGGTCTCTCAGATGAGAGTGAGCCCCCAGGCCTCTAGTAACTCAGCTTGCCCTACAGAAGTGAAGATACAAACTAGTGATGCAGGTGTCACAAATGGCAAGGCGGAATCCCTCCCTGGACAGCCCTTAGCCTCCAACCTGTGTTACGAGGCCGAGAGCCCAGACGAAGCAGCCCTAGTGTATGCCGCCAGGGCTTACCGGTGCACTTTGCAGTCCCGGACACCAGAGCAGGTCATTGTGGACTTTGCTGCTTTGGGACCATTAACGTTTCAACTCCTACATATCCTGCCCTTTGACTCAGTAAGAAAAAGAATGTCTGTTGTGGTGCGGCACCCCCTTTCCAACCAAGTTGTGGTGTATACAAAGGGGGCTGATTCTGTGATCATGGAGCTGCTCTCCGTGGCTTCCCCAGGTGGGTTCACTCAGACACAGAGGGTAGTGATGTGAAGGCCCCAGAGACTAAAAGGCTACTCTGAAGGGCTTTATAAAAGCAAACAAGTGAATATTTGGGGGTCAGTCACACTTGGTGAAGTAGGAGAAGCTTCCTAGGATTTGGTGAGAAAGCACATTAGTTTTGGAGCTGAACAACTTAGGTTCAAATCTGGCCTCTGTCATTTGCTATGTCTTGATAAAGTTACTTAACTATTCTGTGCCTAAGTCATCAATAAATAGGGATTATAGTGCCTCTTTTATAAGTTCCTGAGAGGCTTAATAACACGATATGCAAACCATGTAGACCTTGCCCAGTGCTTAGCAAATGGTAAGAAGTATGCAGTGAAGGGCAGGCAGCTGACATTATAGTTACTGTTTCTGCTGTTCTCAATGGTGTGGGAACAGTGTTTGTGTTAAGTTCTTGGTATTCTGCTCCCCAGACAGAGAGGTACAAAGGAAAGGTTTATTCTGGGGTCCCTTTTATAAGTGCACATTTGAGATTCAAAACTACAAGGCCTTTTGTTTGCTGTGAGTGAAGCTATCATTCTTTTTAAAAATATGCCGATAATTGGGCAGTCTGGTGGGAATACTTGTGTTTTGTTAATTATTTCAGATGGAGCAAGTCTGGGAAACCAGGAGACGATGATAAGGGGGAGAACCCAGAAGCACCTGGATGAGTATGCCGAGCGCGGCCTGCGCACTCTGTGCATAGCAAAGAGGGTGAGGCCGCTCAGCACCCCCGTCGTCTCTAGTCTTCCTCTCATGTGGCCACTGCTTAGTGGAAACTGGCATGTATCAAACCCTGATCCAGGTATTGGGGAGTCCTTGGATCATGGGGTCTCTTCACAGCTTCTTTATTCCATATGCTGGTTCTCAAAGCATTTTGCCAGATGTGTGCCTAAAAGTTATACTCTCTGAGTTCTCAGATGTTTTCATCTATCTGTGAGGGCTTTAGTATGTTGAATACAGTTTGGCTGGGAATAAAAATCCCTCCCACCTAGTTTCTTTCCCCGGAGTGCTTTGTAAATAACACTCCTCTGACTTATAGCATTAAAATGTGCTTTGGAAAGAATGAGACCAGAGACTGGCCTTAATTTTTCCCTTATAAATTCTAGGTGATTTTTTCCTTAAATGTTCATGAGTCTTTATCTGCAAATCCAGGTAAATTTACTAAATACTACCTCAGTATTGATTGATTCTCTATTGAGAATAACTGTAGGATGTAGTGTATCTTTTCTAAATAAAAATTTAAGTAGTAAGAAAGGGCAGAGTTCTAAGAAGTTATTTGAGGGGCATTCTTACCAGAACTGCCCCACGTGTCATGGGAGATACAGAGATAGAGCCCTTTAAGAGTGAATTGGTTAAGTTTTTGAGTCACTTGGCTCATGCGGTGTGGCTTGGATATTGACTGCGTCAAGCTGCTCAGCTGCAGTGAGGCTATGCAAGCACCTTGTAGTGCCCTCCCTCTGGATAAGCCGACTACCCTGGTCCCATCCCTATAACCACATATACCCAACTGCATACCTGAACAGCATGCTTCCAGTGAGAACTTCCTTCAGTGAGAACTCGACTACCCATTGTACTTCAGAGTAGAACAGAGGGCAGAAGATGAAAGATGTCTGCTTAGAGTAGACACAGAGTCTAGTAAGGGCTAGTTCAAGAGAAGGATGTGCTTATTGGGGAGAGAAGGGAGTTAGCTGTAAAGCATAGCAGAGACTTTGATGAATACGGGAGGTCAAGAAACATAACCAGCCTGCATAAGGGAACTACTGGCGGAGAACCAGGGGAGCTGCCTCCTTCCTCTTCTCCATGTCTGCCCCAACCCCTGCTAGCTTTTTCTCCCTGCCTTGTCCTGAAGTTAATTTTTGCTCTGTTAGAAGACAGAGTATCGATTTTCCCTCCTTCTTCTGAGCTCTAGCTAGTAGAAATGTCAAGGAGATACATATACATTAAAGTGCTGATACATATGATTCCTAAACTATAAGGTTCTTGGAAACCTCAATTGGACTTTGGCTAGAACCTCAGCCCAAAGTAGGGATCTCTCATTTCTTACCCAAATTCTAGTTGTTGGTAGCTGCCTTAGTGAGAGTGGCATCGACTGTAGAGTCTTGTGCACTTTATCAACCAGCTGGGTGGAGAATCAAAAGCCAGCCTCACACACAGTTGTAAGAATGTAGAGCTCAAGGCCAAAGCAAGACAAAAGCTTCTGCCTTTCAGTGGAGTGATCCAGCCTTTGATGAAAATGTAGCCCGATAGCTGTCACATTTCCCCCATATCAAACTAGATTGTTTGTGGGCAAGAATAAGTAGATAGAGAAGTTGCCTCACTCCATGTTGCTTTGTAAGAATTGAAATGTAGATTTTCCCTCTATGGTAACCTGAAGATAAAGGAATGGGTAATTGATTCCCTCTGCAGGATCCCACTTATTTTGTCTGGAGCTTCCCTGCTTCGCCCTTATGGCTCCCCCCTCTCTTTCTCTTTACAAATAACTAACCCACAAATAAACCATTAGAAGATACCAGATGTGCTGTTGGCTACGTAATACCTCAAACTGAATAATACTGACACCTCTTTCTCAACTGCATCATTACATTTAACTACCAAATGGAGACGTTTCCTAGCAGCATACTCCTTGGTTTAATTAAATAAATTGACCCATTTTTGTTACACACAGTGCCTAAAATTTCTAAGAGATACTGAGCCATAGGGTCCATCCATCACCAGTGTTACCCTAGTCTAATAGAGAGTTTGGGGAGCATGTGACCACGTGGCTTACAGATAAGGACAACCTGGCATAGATGTGCCCAGGGAGGGGAATACCTAAAACAAGTGGATGGCTTGGTCATTGTTAGGGGTCCATCCTGGCAGAATCCTGCAGGTTCATAAGGCTTGCCTCATGGCTCTTTCCCCTCCATAGGTCATGAGTGACAGTGAATATACAGAGTGGCTAAGGAATCATTTTTTAGCTGAAACCAGCATTGACAACAGGGAAGATTTACTTCTTGAGTCTGCCATGAGGTTGGAGAACAAACTAACCTTACTTGGTAAGTAGACTACATTGTATTGTCTGAATGGAGAATTTTGAAAAAACACTGAATGTCTCTACAAATCATTCATTCACCAATGCCTTTTTCTTTGACTTTGATCTAATAGATGTTTGTGGTTCTCCCCATCCTCTCCAGTCTGATGGCTACCCAGTTTCCAATTCTTGCCATTCTGTTTTCCACTGTAATGAACTAGATTTCATGGTGGGATCAGGGTGGTCATCCTTAAGATCACTTAAAACCCCAACACTTAACATAAAGTATGAAGTCAAATAAATATCCTGGTTCAAGAGAAGAAAGCTAAAGCTTCTTGTCAGGCACTGGATAGGGTGCTTCATATGTGTTTTGTCCTTTTGAATCTGCATTAAAAGTTCTCTGTCTTATTTAGAGGAAACTTGGAGCACCAGTTAATGACTTTAAAAGTCTCATGCTAGTAACTGACAGAGCTAGGAAGAATCTCAGGTCTACCCAGCACCAGAGCCCATGTTCTTTATTCTACACCTGTAACTGGACTAATGAAATTTATTTCCCTCTCTTCTCCTACTTCCTGATTTCCACTAAAGGTTGTACAACTAGCATTTCTTATCTCAGATTGAACTGCATTTTAACATAATCTGGAATGTTTTGCAAAATACTGGTGCCTGCATCCTGTTCCCAGGGATCCTGATTCATTTGGTTGGATGTGTGGTCTGAGCATTTGAATTTCTAAAAGCTCCCCAAGGAACTCTAAAAGGCAGCCAAGTTTGAGAACCACTGCCTCAGAGTCTGGAGATCTAGCTTCTAACACACAAAGAGACCAACCTCTGAGTTCCATTCTTCTGATTTGGAGAAAAACAATAGTCTCAGTTAGTATCTCCCCCATAGAGTACCAATGCCTACTCCTAAGTCATTTCTCTTACCGTGAGTAGTGTGGGCCCACACTTCCTTCTCTGAAGTTCCAAACTCAAAGCTGCTTTGTGGCTTTAGTGCCAAAACTCATTTGGCAATCAAATCAGGCCTGATTTGATAAGACTGTTTATGCCTTTGTTATCCTAAATAGTGTGAACTTTTATAAGTTTTGCTGCAGAAAAATTAATATGATTGATTACCAAATATTACAAAATATATATTACCTTTTTAAAATCTGCAAAACTTGAATTCCAAAGCTTATCTAACCTCAGTTATTTTTGGAAAGGGATTATGGACTTATGAAAGCACTGAAAATTGATATTAAGTCTTACTGGCTAGAACATACTTTACCCTTGAGACTATCATAGAATTACAGAATTGTAGAGCCAGATTACATAAGTAACTGAAACAAACCCCCTCAATTTACGGAAAAGAAAGCTAGCCAAAAAGACAACAAATAAACTTGCTAAACTCATTGATTCCTAAGGCTTCCTTCCCAAAATGTTACTTTGTATGTGAGTTTTGTTTGAGTCTTCACACTTTCTTTGAATCCCTGGAAGCTACTGGAACAGTTTGTGTAGTTCAGGATTGGGTTGACATGGTTCAATTATAGCCTAGGTGAGCTTCAGCTGGCTTTGGTTTCTCACAAGCCCTGTTGAGCTTTGGTTATTTTATAGGTGCTACTGGCATCGAGGATCGTCTGCAGGAGGGAGTCCCTGAGTCTATAGAAGCCCTTCACGAAGCTGGTATCAAGATCTGGATGCTGACAGGGGACAAGCAGGAGACTGCTGTCAACATAGCTTATGCATGCAAACTGCTGGCGCCAGAGGACAAGCTCTTTATCCTCAATACCCAAAGTAAAGTATGTATAGTGACATTAAACCTCTTTTTGTTTTTTGCAAAGCTGCTGGAACATTTGCAATTTCATAAATGTAAGGAGAAAGAAAAGTGAATAACTGTTAGCTTCTTGATAATTATCTCTTTTACCCAGCAATCTGGGTTGTCCTTGGGAGGGTACCATAGTTCTTCTAAAGGCTTGGTAAAACATAATGATTAAGAGGAATCATTGCTGAATAAAGACATTAAAAGAAAATTGCCCTCTTTTTATTTGCTTTTCTTCCCTCCACATTGGATTACCAGGGATTTGACAAGATTTAGCCCATAGAGACAAAATATATAAGTTCTGAGACAGGAATGTATCTCCCTTTCAAACTGAGGGAAAGTGATGATTTCTATCAGAATCAGGCGAATAAATTAGTATTTTTAGGATAATTCTAAAAATAGACTCAGGATTATCATGCCCTCTATTGGTAATTCTTAGATAGTGCCCCCTGAGAATATTAAAATTTTGAAAACCCGTTTAAGAGAAGGGGAAAAAGATTTTTTTTTAAAGAAAAAGAATTTAAGAGGCTTAGAACCTGATTACTTTTTCCTGTCCTCCCACCCACCTCTATCCCACTATTCTAACACAAACATTCTAATCTGTTAAACAGGCATTTTATATATATTTTTTAAATTTCCTGATATAGTGATACTCTTTAAGATTTGTTTCATGTTGTTTAGCTTAAAAAACCTTCCTCCCTCCTTTCTCAGTAATAAAACTTAATGGGTGAGATCCATTCTGTCAAGCAACCTGCCTTGCAGAATCCTCTGGAGCTTCTCATCTGGACTGTACCTTGGGCCTTTGTAGGGTTAGTTTGCCGTATTTTCACAGTCAGCCTCAAGCAATACCCAACTGGATCGTACATTTTGAGGAAAGAGAGTTTTCCTTATTTGAACACAGCAGGTTCTCCCTGGCAGCTGGCAGCGACCTGGGGACCTGTGCCCCCTCCCAGTACCTGTAGGGGGTGGAGGAGGCTGCAGAGAAAATGCCTAGTCATCTTGATCACTCAGGTGCATGTGTCCTAAGGGTGATAAGACTCAGGTTCAAATGCTTGGCCTGCCAGGGACCAGGCTTTGGGGAGTTATCCTCTTGAGCCTTTTTCCCTACCTGTGATGTGAGAATAATGATTACTGCATAGGGTTGTTTGGGCATTAAATGAGAAAATAATTTGTTTAAATTGCCTGGCAGGTGAAAGGGAGTTCAACAAATACTAATAAGGAAAAGTGAATTACTGGTGTTTGATTTAGACTTTGACATTTTTGTGAGCAGTAAAGGTAATTAGGCTTGTGGAGTTTACTTATAAATATACAATCTGTGGTAAAAGACATTTAAAACTACAAATTGAAGAGGTATTCACTATGGACTTTTCTAAGTGTAAATGGTAAATTTGTTTTTGTTATCAAGAAGCTATTCCACCTGTGTGAGTTTTCCAAGTAACTAAACAGAACACAGTGAACATAATTTAGTTCCATGCATATAAAATGCCAGGCACATACTAGGGGATCAACCACTGTATTTATTTCTCTTTTACACTCTCCCTTCCTCAGGAGATGCTAAGAGTTAAAAAAAAGAAATTGAAGATCTTGGAGCCCAATTTGTCATTTAGTGAAGGAATTGTTCCTGTAAAATTCTCAGTGGGCCATGTGGCAATGAATATCTGGTTACTTCCATATGGCAGTACCTTAACTTTACAAATTACATCAGCTTTTATTCCTAAATTTACAAGTTGGGCTATAGTAAATGCAACCACTTACAAAACTGACACAGTCTCCATTTTCATAAAAAGCTTGTTTCTTTTTTTGTTTTAATATAATCATATCCTGGATTATTTGCTGCACGGTGATATATAAAGGCCTTTCAAGATTTATCATTTAATTTTTTTGTTTTATTTTCATAATTTCATTTAAAATTATCTCCTGAAATGGTAACTCTTTATTTTCATGTTTATTAAATCTATAAAAGGCTTTTTCGTACTTGATGTCATCTGACAATTATAGCAAGTAGATAGAGCAGATAAAATTATCCCTGTTTTATAGCCTAAGATTCCAAAAGGTTGTAATTTGTCTAAGTACCCGCAGCTGACTACTTGTCAGGCATGCTTTTTGTATTATATTATGTGTTAGATAAACTATCTATATCTATATCTAAATACAGTAGATTGCTGTTATTCATGAAGTTCTATAAAATTGCCATAAACATTGAATTAGTGAGTACTGAGCTGTTACCCTTGGGGGAAATACAGGATTAGGTTCCTGTCAGCTTCTGGTCAGTATATTTTTCACAACCAGTCAATACCTAACCCCATTTCATGTGTGTTTATGTTTAAAGACACCTTATTAATATATATATTGATTTCATTGACACTGAACTCATGACCGACTGCACTGTAGCACATGCCTGAGGGAAGCATATGTAAGACGCATACTTGCTCCATAGGGCATATCCCAGCCTTCTTGAGTATGGAGACACGGGACAGAGGCACTTCAGCACTAGGCCATCTTAAACAGTGAAATCACCACCAAAAAGCACAAAAATGTGAAATGAAGATTCATGTGTTGAATCGAAAAGAAAATGAAAATAATAGTTACCTTCTCACATTCTATGTGTCATGCATTATACTAGAAACTTTTCATATATTATTTCACTTCTTCCTCACAAAAATACTATGATGTTGATATTTGTATTTTTCAGATGAGAAAGTTGAGGTTCAGAGTTATGTAATTTGCCAAGTCAAGCAAGTAGGAAACAGCAGAGTAAGACCAAAGGGCTCTTGAGATGACTGCACAAAAAGAAATTCTATAGCTGTTTCTTGATTGTAGTTGGGAGGGAGATATCCTCCATCCTTTCGGCTGATTCCCATACACACATGGAAGTGCCTATGGGAGAGCTGTGAGAATAGCCAGTCATTCCCTACCTTGAGTTGCCTTGATACAGCAATTGACAAAGAGAAATTGAGCTGGATATGGCCAGCAAGGGACCCCAAGGCTAACTGCCTTTGCCTCTTGTTTCAAGGATGCCTGTGAGATGCTAATGGGCACAATTTTGAAAGAACTTCAGAAGAAGAATCCAGTCTCTGCCAAGCAAGCATCATTAAGTGAGGACTTACACCAGCCTCCTGCTGCCCAGGACTCAGGGCTGCAGGCTGGACTCATTATCACTGGGAAGACGCTGGAGTTTGCCCTGCAGGAGAGTCTGCAGAGGCAGTTCCTGGAGCTGACTGCTTGCTGTCAAGCTGTGGTCTGCTGCCGAGCCACGCCCCTGCAGAAGAGTGAGGTGGTGAAATTGGTACGCAACCACCTCCGGGTGATGACCCTGGCCATCGGTGAGTGGGATGCAACATAGCCCTGCATTCGTTCTTGCCACACCAGAGGCTGATCCTTCTGTCTGACCTTCCTTCCGTACTTCTGTTTACTCCTCAGTATGTCTATCCTTGTCCTACCCCACTTTCCCTCCCCTAATCCTCCTTTTTCTTCTCTCCCACCCTCAGCGCCTCCCCCTTTCCCTCTATCATCTATTTAACCCTGACCCACATGGTAGAGATGTGACTTGGAAAACAATGTAATGGGACTCTGGGTAACATCAGCTCCCCAAATCAACTGGGTTAAGGAGGGTAGTATACTGATAGAACTGAAAAATTCTGCCTTTAGGAAAGTTATATTCAGGAAGATGAACAATTCACTTATTTATTCATTCAAAAAATATGTATTACATGTCTTCTATGTACCAGGCATTTTTCTAGACTATAGAAATATGTGAGTATATAAAACTGACAGTACCTTTTCTTAAGGAGCTTACATTGAGTAGGAGAGCATACAGTAAAATCACAAAACCAAAAAGGCATAAATATATATCAGATAGTGACAAATGCTATTGAAAAAATAAAGCAGAGTTAGGGAGATGGAGAGCATTGGGGGAGGGAAAGAGAGATGCTATTTGAAATACATTCTTCAAATGTCTCACCAATAAGGATGCTTATGAGCAGAAACTTGAAGGAAATGATAAGAGAGCCAAGAACCAATGGAAGTGAAGGCAGTAGACTATGCTGGGTATGTTCGAGGCCAAAGCAGATGGAACGAAGGGAAGAGTCTTCTGCAGGAAGAGTTTTCTGCAGGATGGTGCAGCTGATGCAGTTGATTTCTGCAGCCCAACCATGTTGGGTTTTGGAGGCCATAATAAGGTTTTGGCTTTTATCTGAAGTGATAGGAAACCATTGGAGGACTTTGAGCACAGGAAGTGCATGATCTGCCTTATGTCTAAAAGGATCACATTGGCTGCAGTGTTGAGAATAACTGTTGGGTACAAGGACATAAGGAAGGAGATCAGTTGAGAGGCTGTTGAAATAATTCAGGCAAGAAGACATAATAGTAATTTGAGCCCAGCTGAGAGCAGAGAAGGTGGAGGGATGTGGTCAGATAACAGACATGGCTTGAAGAAAGAGCTAAGGACATTTGTTATGTTACTGACAGGAGTTAAGGGGGACACGTTTTTGTTTCTGAGAACAGAGAGGATGGAGCTGCCATTTACTGAGATGGAGTCGGGGGAATTGGGAGTTAGGTCTTACACATAATTATATTTGAAAAGTCCATTAGATATCTATGCAGTGATATCGGGTTGGCAATTTGGATATAAAGTCTGGAATTTAGTGATTAGGAATTGGCTGGAGATATGAATTTGGGAACCATAGGTCTAGTGGTAGTTAAAGCCTTGGTATTAGATGAGATCACCAAAAAATGAGTATAATTGGAAAAGAAAAGCAGTGTAAGATTAAGTTCTGAAACACTGTAATACTTAAAGGGTAGCAAGATGAGGACTCAGTCTGTTTTGCACCTGGATTGTTTTGAGTCCCAGATATCTTCTCCCCTAAGGTGGCTGATACAGTCACCAAAAATTCCCAGGTTTATATACTATCCAATTAACAACCTGAGTGAAAAGATAACATGTCTTTAGAGTATAAAGTGTCTTTAGAGTATAAAGTGTCAGGATCAGGGGGAATTTTGGCCAACTATCTTATTGAAAGAACCAATAAATGAATGAATTGTTCAAGCCCCGATCCAAATGTTCATGAGGGTAGAGCCCCTGGACAAGTCAGTTATAGCAATTGAGTCGAGTCATGTGCCCATCACTGAACCAGTCACTGAGGCCAGGAAACAGTGCTGACTGTCCAGGCCTCGTTCATGTGCCCATCCAGAATCTGGGAGTTTGGGTTCATCATAACAAACCACCTGGACTCAGAGTTCCTGAGGAAGATCAGGTATTAATACTAGAAAGCAAGTGGATGGTTGGTAGGCAGTTGGGAACAACCATTCATTACCAACAAGAAGGGAATACCTCCTCTTAAGAAGCTCCCCTTGTGTTGGGGAGACCAAGAAATTGCTAGCAACCACAATCCCATGTGACAGGTATGATAGAGACCACAGTGTGGTGCTGGAGCCGAAGGAAGGGGCATCTGATCTAAAGAGAATATGGAGAGTGTTTCCCAGAGGAAGTGACATCTAAGCTGAGAGCAAGAGCAATTGAAATAGAGCCAAGTGGGGTGGGGATGATGAGGACAGTGTTAAAAGAATAGAGGAGCAGTGTGCGCCATGCTGGAGAGAGCAGGTGTATCTGGAAAACTGAAACTAGAACAAGCAGCGTGGAGCAAAGGGAGAGCAGCCCAGGCAGGTGCCATGGTGTGAAGGATTCTAAGGCAGTGCTGAGTTTGGAATTCTACCTGATGGCAGTGGGACCGACGCCACATTTAATTTCTGCTTAAATAGCTGCCGTGTAACTTGGAGACATGGGATAAACTTTGAAGGACATTTGTGTGTTTGCTTGAGTGGCTGCCATAGATTCGCAAAGTTTGCATGTTTTCTCCAGTCCTCATGTGCTTCTCACCTTTTCTGCCTCACGAAGGTGATGGTGCCAATGACGTCAGCATGATACAAGTGGCAGACGTTGGGATAGGGATCTCAGGTCAAGAAGGCATGCAGGTGAGTGGATGCTGTGCACCCAGACATCACAGACTTGACCTACCCATCAAAGGCAGTGTTCTCCAGGCAGAAATCTCGGTGGTAGCATGAGGCTCTGTGTGGTTAGCTCAGGAGTGGGAGGCAGGAAATTTATCCATGCATGCATTCATTCTTTACTGGGTGAGTAATAGCGTATTTTCCCGGATAGGTATTTTTAACTGTGTGGTTCACTTGTTCAATTTAAAAAATGTAGCCTGTCTAGATCATGTAAATATGTATTTTTAGCCCTGCAACAACTATGTGACTTTTGACACTGATGAAAAGTACTGAGGGTTTGAATAAAAGACCTGAAGGTCCTAAAGAGAGAGGAGAGGGAATGAAGGAGGCAGGAGGGTCCTGTTTCAGCTGGGGGAGAGGGGTGCATACACATGTGTGCGTGTATGTGTTGGATAGAGTTTTAGACACAAAATTCAGAGAGAAGCTCGTCCAAAAGTCTGTTTTTCATATATGGAGCAAATACTGTCAGAGGAAAGTAGAATGTGAGGCTTAGGGCTTCTGAAGAAATGTATATTATTATAATATCTCTAAGAAAGATAAGAAATTCAAATATCTCTTTGCTTGACATATTAAGTTACAAAAAGTGATTCCAGCCATATTTTGAATATTCTCCTCATTGAAGGGTAGCGAAAGAACATTGTAATCTTCAGGGAGCTGCTCTCTAGGGAAGGTATATTTGCTGAAATTACATCACAGTGGTAACCAGAGAAGTAGTCATGTTTCCTGTGACCCTGTTGGAAAGCTCAGTTGTAATTCCAGGCAGCCCATTCAGGCTATGTTCATGGGCTTTTATTTGTTTGAGAGTGTTTTTTTGGTCTGCACATAAGGTTGAAAGAACAGATGTAAGGTTGAAATAATTAATCTGGTCTGCTGATGGCCAGGCTGCCCTGCTGTCTGTCCAATTGCTCACAGTGACCTTCTCTCCCCATTGCCTCTGCAGGCTGTGATGGCCAGTGACTTTGCTGTTTCTCAGTTTAAACATCTCAGCAAGCTCCTTCTTGTCCATGGGCACTGGTGTTACACACGGCTTTCCAACATGATTCTCTATTTTTTCTACAAGAATGTGGTATGTAGCTCCAGCAAATTTGTCCGTCCAATCCTGCTTGTGAAAGGGATGAAGAGGAAGTGCCCTACACTAAGCTACTGAGCTTGTTGATGTTTGAGGAGTAGCCAGGAGCATTCCTGCTACCTTACCAGAAATAATCTAGGAATGTGCTGTGTTTCAGCTGCTGACAGCAAATTGCTAGACTCGTCCATATGCTGGCATTTTCTATTCCCTATGCATTTAAATTCAGTGAAGTCCTGTCTGGTTTATTTAAAATCCAATTTTTGACCTTCCATAAATAGGTGGTGACAAGCAGAATTATGAAATGTTTAATGCTATCTGTCAGTAGAGAATGAAAAGGTTTGCTTCCATTTTCTAGGAGTTACTGAAAATTATCTTCGGTCTTCAAATCAGTGTCCCATGTGATGTACTGAAAACACAGATGAAAACCCAATATAACACCTAAGCCTGTAGCTGTCTTAACACTCACATGAAAATTCTCTTGCAAGCCTATGAAATGTATTTGTGCTCTTGGGAAATATTTTATGGTCAAGGAACTTAATTTTGATTATGTCATTCCTAAAAGCACAGAATTTGATTAGAAGTCCTGGCTTCTAATCTTTGGCATACCATTTAAATTTGTTTCTTCTTTCATAAGATCATGTTGACCTTACTTTGCTTCGCTTAAGCCTCTTCTAGGCAGAGTCATATATAAATATGTCATGATTTTTAGGCTAGATTTATTCTAGTCTCCAAAGTCCATATGTAGCATTAGTAGTCAATATGTTACATCATTCTATTTAAATAATATCTTTAGAAAAAAAATAACATCAAATGGGTCATTTCTCAGATCTTCCAAATGTGTCATTTAGATCTGATCTATGTATGTATCTGTCTGCTGGTCAGCAAGAGCATTTTTTCTCTGAAGCTCCATTAATTTTTTAGGAAGTTCCCAGTCATTTGCTTAATTAGAATTAACACTTTTAGCCAAACTTTAATAAAACTTACTTTATGAAAATTTTTGAAATGTAAAACATCCATATCTGAGTGTATGATTCTGGGAGAAGCTGTGATTTGTAGTTTAAAATTCCAGGACTTATAGTGGTCATGGCTTTTAGAGAAGAGACCCTTTCCCAAGTTTTTTGTAAATACCTTTGCATTTTTCTACCTTCTCCTCAATTTTGATGCCTCCACCTCCCTCCGTTTAACCCCAGGTTAACTTCAATGGTTAAGAAGCACTATTAGTAGGAAGAGATGCCATATGCTCTGGGAAAAAGTGGGTGGGGGGTTCCACAGCCAGGACCCTGTGGTCTTTCTGGTCTGTACCCATTGATAGCCATTCACACTGATGTCCTCCCAACTTATTTCTACCTTTTAGTCACATACCAAACAATGAATAATTTATAAACTATCTTAAAAAGAGTCAGTACCAGAAGCCATTCAAGTAGCTTATCTTTCTGAGACTCCGGTTCTTGGGTTTCTGGAGACTTGAGAACTGATGAGGACTATGGATTCAGTCCCCAAAACAGTGCCATAAAACATATGTGCCCAAAGTGGATACATCTTCAGGATCTGGGCATAATGAGTGCCTGTGGACCTGAGGCTGAGAAGCTTGGTTCTAAGGACTGTGGCCTCATCCACAGGGGCTCTAGTGTATCTGTGGCGCCCATGATAACAACATCTTAATATTCATAAGGTACATGACAGGTCCTGAGCACTTCCTAACTTGTTCTTGATACTAAGCTCTTATGTGATGTAATTCTCATTTTTCAGATGAGGAAACCAAAATTTAGAGAGGTTAGGTGAATGGCTTAAAGTTGAAGAATCAGTAGGAAGTGTCCCTTGAAACAGACGCCCTGTGTCCTTTCCTGTGGCCTGCCTTGCTTGAAGGCACAGAGCCTTTGCTAGCTTGGACTTGGCTTATCTGAGACAAAATACTGGAGGAAATGATGTAGGATACGCCTGGCCTCTAGGGTGACTACCTAACCTGGCTCACGTGGAACAGTCCCACCTTCAGCAGAGAGAGTCCTGTGTCCCAGGAAACTCCTCATTCCCACGCAGACTGGAATGATTGGCTGCCCTACTGGCAACATCCCACTTCACCACTAAAAATAACTGTGGCCCCAGAAAGCCCGAGAATGGCCATTCGCTGTGTGCCTACTGAACCCAGGCACTGGGCCAGGCTCTCTCCATCTAGAGCTAAGAATGCCTCACTTTGAATATAAATGGGCTCTGCCACATTAGCCAAGTGACTTTGGGCATGCTCCTTTGCTTCCTGTGCCTCAGGTACCTCATCCATAAAATGGAAACAACAGTGATTGCCAAGTTGTTACCAAGATTTAATGAATTATTTGTAAAGCTCTTACAACAGGGCCAGCACCACACAGTAAGTGCTGTGTGTGGGTATGTGTGTATGTGGGTATGTTTGTGTGTATGTATAGCAGTTTAATAAAATGTTTGCCAAGGGAAGGCTGCAAGGTAAGTTGTGATCTTCCCTTTTTTTAGGTGAGGAAACTACACTGGGAGGGAAGCTGAGATCACACAGCTCAAAGTGGCAGTGCATGGCATGTGTGGTCACAGCATGCAGTGCTGTTTCTAAGATGGCTAATGTTCCTCTTTGTGTCCCCAGGCCTACGTGAACCTCCTTTTCTGGTACCAGTTCTTTTGTGGGTTTTCAGGAACATCCATGACTGACTACTGGGTTTTGATCTTCTTCAACCTACTTTTCACATCTGCCCCTCCTGTCATTTATGGTGTTTTGGAGAAAGATGTGTCTGCAGAGACCCTCATGCAGCTGCCTGAACTTTACAAGAGTGGCCAGGGATCAGAGGTAGGTACTGAAGCAGAAGTGCTCAGGCCAATACACATCCTTCGCCAAGGCCAGGGCATTTTCCAGTCAGCCTGCTTCAAATGTTGTGGTATATTTAAAACTCTTTGATGCAAAAGCCCTCTACTAGCATGGCAGATATGAAGTTACTCGCTTCTGAGATGAACACAGGGAAAATGATGAAAGTCCTTAGGTACTTGTAAAAAAAAATCCAATGTTTAGAACTTGCAACTAATAATATCTAGTATTAATAAACCCCATTGTGCCATCTTTTGTGCAAACTGCTAAACATTGTCTTATCTTCACAGAACACTTTGAGAGAGAACCCGGTATTATTCCCATTCTAAGATAAGGAATTTGAACTTCAAAGGGGCTAATTTTTCCAAAAATTTCACAGCTAAAAAATGGTAGAGCCAGGATGTAAACCCTTCTTAGTCTGGTCGTAAAGCCAAAATAAATTCTTTATGTGCTACACAAAACAGTGCACTGATCTTAATGGCTCCCTCTCCCTAAAAGCATGCCCCACCTCCATGTAGTTGATCTCTTAGTCCCATCAGCTACCTCTGATGTATTGCTTAACCCCTGTCCCCCCTTCCTCCTTTGTCTCACTGCCCTCACTGTCTCTTATCTAGAGTATTGTCACCAGTTAATTGGGCAAGCTGTCTCAAAGCTCTTTTCTTTCTAATTCATCTCTCACAAAATTAATAATAACCAACATTAAGATGGCACTTATGAACATTTATATAATGCCAAGCACTGTTCTAGGTTATTAACATACATTAATCCTCAAAATGTCCCTGTGAGCTAGATGCTGTTGTCATCCATGCTGTAGGTGAGGAAGGTCAGGCATGGAGAGGAACCGTAAGCAATCTGCCCGTGTCACAGAGCTCATGGGCGGTGCACGTGAACCCTGCCTGCCAAACCCACACTATCTACCGTTGTTCTGAGCTGGGGGTAGACTAAGCACTGATGCTGTCTTTAGTCCTTGGCACCCCCACCCTGTTTAATGGCTGGAAATCCAAAGTGGTCTCGCAAGTACATTATCACCATTACAGGGACTGAGTGGACCAAGAGCCTACAGACACCTAGATGTGGACGAAGCTGAGGGGTCTGTCTCGTCAGATATTCTAGTCATGAGAAGAGGACTCTGTTAGGACTTAGAGTTGCAAGTGACAGAAAACCAGCTCAAACTGGCTTAATGAAAAAGGGAAATTTATTGGCTCACATAGCTGCAAAATCCAGGAGTAAAGTTTACAGAACACTGTTATTTTTAAAGCAATTGTGACTGTCCTGTTTATGACTCACTGGCCTAGCTTGAGGCCCATGCCTTTCTCTGGGTTTATCACTCTGGCTAAAAGGATCACTTTCTCATTGACCAGGCCTGGGCATATATCATTCTTAAGGACAGAGCTGAACCCTATACACAGGATTGAGAAGAATGGTCTCCTGTAAACATACTGGACAGACAGAAATGAGACCCACTGTAAGAAATCTGTGTGTTGTGATTCACTCACTGTCCTGAAGACACTGACCCAGAGTAGCACACATTAGGAATAGTGGGTTATGTTTAGCCTGGGTGTAAATTCTTTCTCTGTGGTGTGTGATATTGGCTAAGTTATTTAGTTTGCCTGTACTTCAGTTTCTCCTTTACAGGGATGGTGTGAAGGTTAAGTTATGGTCTGTACAAACGTTCCAGCCACAAAAAATCCAGTACTGTCATTTTTATGCCTCAGAATTAACCAGAAATTTGAAAAAAAATACCAGATTCAAAATGATTCGTTCATTTTCATCAGCCTAACTTCATTCTGACTTGAACTACCTTTCCAGACTGGAGAGTAATTTAATATCTTCAGACTACCTGGAGCGGCCTACACAGAGGAAAGTCACACATTCAGCTTTCAGGGAAGAAGGAATCCTTCTAATCCTTTAATATTACCTACTCCATTCACATCACACAACTACACAGGGTTTTCCTACAGGAATCCAGTTCTGACTTAAAGTTCAAGGCCAGGATGCAGGAATGTGTGGTCGTTCTTAATGAACGTTGTCCTGCACCCCATGCCTGTTAACTTCCAAGTCCACTGGGGAAAAAGGGAGGTGAGGAGGGGGAAGTTCCAAGTTTTTATAGCATCTTAATGAACGTTGTCCTGCACCCCATGCCTGTTAACTTCCAAGTCCACTGGGGAAAAAGGGAGGTGAGGAGGGGGAAGTTCCAAGTTTTTATAGCGGGGGTAGGGGGTGGGGTGGGGTGGGGGTTAAAAGCCTGTTTGTACAGACTGAAGATCGTGATTGGTGTTTATGCTTGGAAGAGCTGAGGCCATTGTTTCCTGATGTTGAACCTTGTTATCAGTCCTTTGCACACATTGTTCTACTGAGCTTGCCCGTTTCATAATGTGGTAACAGCAGGTGGATTCCCAGCATGAGACTGTTGGTAAAAAGTAATTGATTTCATTGACTTCACCTTCCAGAAACATTATCCTTTCTTTGAAATTGGCCTCCAAAAAAATTCTCTTTTTGGTTGGGCCATTTTCTATCTTCAGTGTCATGAAATATACCCTCCAGGATTACATACAGTCTCTCTTCTCGAAAGGAGACTGGTCTGAAGGCTGCCGTCGGAGGCTCCCTTCTGGGAAGCAGTCGCCTTGTGTCGCCCACAGTCTTCCTTCTGGCTTTGACCCCATGAGCTGACTCACAGTTTCCGGGAGACCCCATGAGTTAATCCCTTCAGCCTCTCATTTACCTGATCCTCGATCCTTTTTTACTTCATGATTCCCCCTTACATGACTGTGGAGAAATTATACTTTTTACCTTTTTGCTCTAGGTCTTCAAGCAACCGCTCGTCCACCAGAAGCATGAGACTATATTTTACCTGAATCCCTAGTGGCATCTGGGTTGTCCCCTTGGCTCTGTCTTATTCTCTTGTACCATTTGATTGTTCTTATGCTTAGATTTCATGGACACTTGGGTGAAGAAAAGCAGGTAGAATATCCCATCATTTCCAGTGAAGAAATAGTAAAAGAACAGGGCAAAGTAGACTGAAAACAATAACTCTTTATGCTTTCTTTTCCAGAGGATAAAGACATTTTTTTAAAAAAGGAATAGATGTACTTTATTGAAGTCTGTTATTGACAAATGAAAGAATATTAAGTATGAGCATGAGGAGTTTTTTCTGGATACATCTCTTAAGGCAAGGGAAACAAAATAGAAAATAAGTGGGACTACATCAAACTAAAAAGCTTCTGTAGAGCATAAACACCATCAGCAGAACAAAAAGGCAACTTACACGTGGGAGAATATATTCATAAATGATATATCTGATAAGGGGTTAACATCCAGAACATATAAAGAACTCATATACCTTAACACCACAAATACAAATAGCCTGATTAAAAAATGGGCAGAGGGCCTAAACAGACATTTTTCCAGTAAGACATACAGATGGCCAGCAGGCACATGAAAAGATGCTCCACATCACTAATCATCAGGGAAATGCAAATCAAAACCACAATGAGATATCACCTCACACTAGTCAGAATGGCCACTATCCAAAAGACAAGAAATAACAAGTGCAGGTGAGGATGTGGAGAAAGAGAACCCCTACTGTTGGTGGGAATGTCAATTGGTGCAGCCACTGTGGTATGGGGGTTCCTCAAAAAGCTAAAAATAGAAATAACACAGGACCCAGCAATTCCACTTATAGAAATTTACGTGAAGAAAACAAAGTCTCTGATTCGAAAAGATGTATGCGCCCCTATGTTTATTGTCACATTATTTACAATAGCCAAGATATGGAAGCACCGAAGTGTCCATCAATAGATGAATGGATAAAGACGTACATATATACAATGGTATATTATTCAGCAACAAAAAAGAAATCCTGCCATTTGTGACAACAGGATTGGCTTAGAGAGTATCATGCTAAATGAAATAAGCCAGGCAGAGAAAGACAAATATCATATGATTTCACTTATGTGCATAATCTAAAAACAAAAGAAAATGAACACAACAAAAATAGACTCACAGACACTAAGAAGTGAGTGGTGGTTACCATGAGGGAAGGATAGGAGTGAGTGGGTGAAATAGGTGAAGTGGATGAAGAGGCACAAAATCTCAATCACAATATAAATTAGTCACAGGGATGAAAGTACAGCATAGAGAATATAGTGAATAGTTGTGTAACATCTTTCTATGTTGACAGTGACTATACTAGTTGGTGTGAGCACTTAATAATGTAGATAACTATCAAATTGCTATGTTGTATACTTGGAAAAAAAGAATGGAAGAATTTAAATGGAGAATTTGTCTCTTTATAATAAAAACTTTGTTCATTACAAGACAATTAGACATTTTCAAGGAAATTTCAGCCTCTTTTTGCATTTGGAAGGAAATAAGACTGAGAACGTGTTAAGAAAAGAGAGGACTGGCACAGGGTTGTGATACATGTGTCGCCCTTTTTGTCCAGCGCAGACATCACTGCTAAGCCATAGCACTAATTCTTCCTGCTGTGTCTGAATGCAGCCCTCCCTTCTGCACACACATCACCCCATTAGATCAGCGTTGACTCTTGTTTGAAAACCTGTTTTCAATCGCTTGACTAGTGTCTCCACTTGATCTTTCTCTTTATAAGCTTTTGGTAGGAAGCAGTTTAGCACATGAAAAGTTATATAAAAAACATCTTATTAATCTGACATTTGTTCAGTACCTGCTATGTACCAGGCACTGTTTTAATCACTTGAATAAGAGAGTCAAAGTCCTACTGTATGGAGCTTGTATTCTGTTGAGAACCAGAATATCATTAGGTAAACAATCAGATTGTTTTTGATGGTGATCAGCGACTTCTAAGAATAGTGAGGTAGTCAGTGATTGGGTGGGCATAATTTTCAAACTGGTCTGGGGGTGCCTCTAACAGGACTCGTTATTTGAGCTAGGCTGTGAATAATGAAGAACTGCTCATGGTAAGCCCAGGGAAATGCATTCCTGGCAGAGGGAAGAACACAGGTAAAGAACTGAAGAAATAGATTTGGCAAGTTTGAAGAACAGGAAGGTAACACAGTGAACTTAGGTTGTATTGCAAATGCAGTGGAAAGTCAATGGTGGTGGCATTGAAATGAGTCAGTTTGGTTAATTAGGGAAGTGCATAGCCTGATTTGCCATTTTTAAAACTCTGCTGCTTTGGGAAGAGTGACTTAGGGGTAGGAGAGGAAGTAGAGGGGCAAATGAGATGGTCATCCATTCATTCATTCAGAAAGAGCTGATTGTGAATTAGAATGAAGAGAGTAGTGGGGATAGAGAGGTAGATGAATTTGGAGTTTTTGAAAAAGTACCTTCTCATCAGTAGGAAATGTAAAGTTATTACTATGATCCTTATTTCAAGTAGATTTAAGGTTGATCCAATGATAAAACAACATGAGCTGAAGAAGACTTCCTTCAGGGGATTTTTTCACCTGTGAACTTACCCCATTCAACTGTCACACCTCATTTTTCCACTACTACTTACAAATCTCACATATTTTGTGAGTGAGAAAATGAAGGAATAGAGCTTCTTTCAAAGAAGCACAAGTAGGTACTGGTTTGTGTTGTTCCTTGACGTTGCCTTGACCCCTATTAATCTTCCTCCTGCCCCGATATCATTTTCAGGCATACTTACCCCTTGCCTTCTGGATCACCTTACTGGACGCGTTTTATCAAAGCCTGGTCTGCTTCTTTGTGCCTTACTATGTGAGTCCTTGTTCACTCCAAGTATTTATTAATGAATCAATGATGCTTTGTACTTCGTCACTGGTATCAGCATATAGAATGGATATATTAGAGTAGATTGCTCATATAATCAAGTTGATTATTAATGGACTAAACTATAACACCTCCCCAGATATGTTAGATAATGGATTGAATTTGGAGAACAATGCCTCATTGACTCTTTTTAAGTCTTTTTAGCCCTGTATTGCTTGATCACTTGTCAATGACTTGGGTAAAATTGAAAGTATGACCATATAATTAGATAATTCAAAACCAGAGAGGCAGAGTCAGAATATAGGAGCTCTTATTAATCAGTGCTGGGCTAATTCTGCCAGGATGATATGTAGAGTGTTAAATTTAAGTTCTCATAACTAACCTCCCCCCAAACTTAAAAAACCTGTTTTGCAGGTAAAAAATGGAAGAAATGTGACTAAGCAAAGAATGTGTAAAACTGAATTTAAAAATTTAGGCCAGCACCAAGCAGCAGGGTACAGCAGCCCACCCACATACACCCCTGGCCAGAAGAAAACATTAGTTTGATCATGGATGGTGTTAAAAAAATCCACAGTATTAAGAATGAAAAAGATATTCTCTAAGTTAACAATTTCTATGCTCTAGTTCTTTATTCAAATGAAATGACTTGCATTTGCCCAGCTAAAATATTCTGGGTATACAGCATTTCAAGAGGAGTATAGGAAAGGCAATTAGAAATGTATTCAGAAGAGATTGACTAGAATTGTGGAAGATTAGAAAATTGTGTCATTTGAGGAATCCTGTAAGGACTTGAAAACATTTACATAGGAGAAGAAGCTTTATTTACTTAGCAGAGATATAAACTCAGGGTAGACATAATAGCTGCTTCAAAGGTTTGCAGAACTGTTAAATGGAACATATTTTATATCTCTCTACACTTAACAGAGCTAGAAATATATGTAAAAGTTTCCAGGAAGATTAATTATGATTTAGAACAAAGAGGAATTGCTACTGAAAAGTTCAAAGATCAAATGGACTTGCATAAGAGAGTCAGTCTCTCTTGCCTGGAAATGTTCAGTTTATCCTAAATGGCCAATTTTTGGGAACACCAAAGAAGGGACTCAATCCTCAACTGTGCTGTAGAATAAGGGGGTGATATTCACACCACTATTTGTGCACAACTCTCCAAGGTCACCAACTGTTCTCTCTTTGTAGACCTACCAGGACTCAGATATTGACATCTTTACATTTGGAAACCCGCTGAATACAGCTGCTCTGTTCATCATTATCTTCCACCTGGTAATCGAAAGCAAGAGTTTGGTGAGTGGCTCTCCTGTCTCTGAAGTAGCCTGAAACCATGCTTGGGGAAATGTTTTCTATTAGCAGTGAGTCTGCTAAGCCCTTGATGCCTAGAAGACAATAGTGGTAATGAGAAAACTGTGTAAGAAGTGTGATTGTTGACTGTTGAATGCCATTATGCTGTGGTTGATGAGAAGCCAGGGCAAGTGGAAAACACCTGGCTGGTGCCTTTGGTGGTATCTATGGTGGATGGTTTATGGAGGTATAAGCCAGGCTGGAGAAACAATTACTCTTCTAGTGGCCAGCATTCTTCAAGATAAGGCTGATGCCTCTCTACTAAAATAAATAGAGGTGTTATGCCGTAATCCTGGTATGCTGGCTTTATGCCCTTCTTTTGTAAAAATTTATCTTTTTCTCCCTCCAGAATTCTAACCATTCACTTAAATCTAGGTCTTTTTGAACTTAGTTGCTGACTTACTGATAAAGTTAAATATTTTCAAAGTGATTGCAAGGTAGCTCTTAGCAACAAAGCTACTGTGTAGGATTCAGGTAATGGGAGTTTTATTGTAAACTTTTCTTCGCACATGGTAGCATTCTGCCATTCTCTGGAAAATAAACTACCTCTCTGATTATATATCCTGCTCACTCATTTCCACTGCTGAGGTCCAAGCCACTATCATCTCAGCCCCTTTAGTCTTCTTCCCTGTACTCTTGACTCTTTCAGGTCCTTTTCTACAAATCAAGCAGAATCTGCCTTTTGTAAAACAAATCATGTATCTTTTTGCTCTCCTCTGGAGAAATTGCCCTTCAGTGACTTCCCATTCTACTTGGAATGAAGCCTTAAAGCCCTAAGATGGTCTGTAAGGCCTCATGCAGAGATACCCCTTCTTCTCTCCCCTATCTTACTTTCACTTACTTATGGGCTGGAACCACACTTCCCCCTTTCAGTTTCTGATTCACTGAACTCATTGCCACATCAGGGCCTTGGCATTTACCACATCTGATGGGATGCATGCTTACTTCCCCCCTGGGTGCCTGCACTTTACCCAGTTCAAATGTTACGTTAGGTCTAGCTGCTTCCCCCAAGAGCCCTTTGCTAACCATCCATTGTCCCATACCATCCTCTAGTTTTCATTCACAGCTCTAATAATAATTTATAGTTATTATGTGATCATCTGACTCATGTTCATCCTCTGAATATTCTCATTGAGGACAGGGTTCATGTTTATATTGTTCACTGCTGTGTACCAAAATCTAGGGCAAGACTGGCACACAGTACATGTTCAGAAAATATTAGGATGGGTAAATGAATGATTAAATGACTTACCAGTGTTTGGGGTATATTTACCATCCTCTAATGAATTCATTTCAAACAGGAATAGCTGAAAGAGGTTATAGTTTAAATGTTATATTATTAAATTATTTATAATAATTTCTAAAGTAGGTATCACTTGCTTTGCTTATGACCTGCTGTCACCAAACTGTACAAGCCTGAAGTATAGTAAAAGGTTAATTAATATCTGCCAATCTAGATGGATAGAGTAAAAGGAATTCTAGAACTAAAGTATTTTGTGTTGTTTTAATATCCATTTAACTTCATTTTTAAGCAGTTGTGTAGGTACTTCTGGTTACTGCCGAAGGAAGTGTCATAGATTCTGACATTTATTAATGTTCCAAAGGATCTAATATGTAAAATGTGTCAGTTTGGGTCTGCTGGTTATGAGCATAGCAATCTGTTCTGGCTAACCTGAGCAAATAGCAAATTTATTAAAAATATGTTGAGGAGCCATGGTAAAAACAAAAACCAAGTAAAAATATCCTGAGGAACCAGAGTGGCTCTGGAGACCCAGGAACTAGGAACTAACAGACAGGCTTGCCAGGGTGGCGCTCTGCTCTGAACTGGCCCCATCATTTTCTTTCCCTTCTTGCCTCATTGTGCTCCATGCTTAGTTCCTGGTGACAGAATTCAGTTTCCTTAGTTCCAGTCATAAGCTCTGACTGGAGGAAGAATATTTTGCCAAGACTGCGCATAATGCTGAGTGTCCTCAGCAGGAAGAATGAAACAAAAGGCTGGGTGCCAAGAAAAACAGTAACTGCTCTCTCTATACACGATGCACCATGCTTCCCTAAAAACTGCTTCACATGCCAAGGGACGTTCAAGCTCACAGCCGCCAAATGTCCCTGGTCAGTAAGAGTCAGCCCTTCGTGCTCTTGCTCACCGCCTCATTGACCCCTCCCACCTCCCTGTTGGTTTTTACCCAGCATCCCTTGACTTTAACTTCATCGTTTTATTTAAATGTGTCAACTCCATGAAGTCACTATCTCACTTGTCAAAAGTGTACCTTACAGGAAATAAGATTTGAGCAATAGGGCTCAATGGGGAGGAGGGACATTTGAGAAATAACAAAAAAATTAAATCATTGTTTTAGAGGTATGATCATCTTAAGGATTTAGCCAACACTTTCTGAGTGGTTTGTACAGTTTACAAAAAACGATCAGTCTTTCTGACCTGTGAAGATTTCCACCAAGGGGAAATACTTTGCAGGGTTAAGAGGAAGAAGGAGAAAATTGCATCTTATTTGAAAATTACAGTCCTAGAAAATAAGTATTGATAAAGGTAGTACTTTCCCAAAGCATAACATACACCACTCTGGTATATGCTGTGATTCTGTGTGACACTGTACACGGCACTGAATAGCACTGAGTACTGCGTAAGGTAAAGGTGATTCTCTTTCAGAATTTGGATTATGTCAGAGAGGAAGTCTGGTTAGGGCTATTGTGTTTATCACAATAACTCTTGGTACTTTCCCTCGTAATAAAGATCAGATCCCAGATTCATCACCATTATGATAGGTAATGGTGATATTACATTTAAGGTAGTGATCTGCTTTTCTTTCTAAATAAAGTCACTTAATTAAATAGCCAGTTTAAAAAATAATATTAAGAAAAATATTAAGAAAAAATATTCCAAACTATACATAAATAGGAAAGTGGCTAGATAATGTGGTGAGACAAAAAGATGTATTTCTTGCTCATATAAAGTTAGCTAAAGATCCAGATAACTCCAGAGCAGTTGTACTCTGAGGGGCAGCTCAGTGACCCAGACTGTGCCTTGTAACTTGACCATCTTGAATTATCCTCAAGGGAAACTTCTTGGTCAACATGGAAGAAAAGGAGACAGCATGGAGAATCACACAGCTCTTCCGTGCTTCTAACCTGAAACTTTTGCATATCCCTTCCATTCACATTTCACTGGTCAAAGCAAGACATGTGGGCATGTTTAATTTCAAGGGAGTGAGGAAGTACAATCCTCCCAAATTCTTATGATGGGAAGAAAATGAGAATATTGGTGAGTAACAGTAATGTCTACTACCTATGTGAATGGGTAAAGCTTGAGGTTTTCTGGATTAAGGTATTACCTTAATGAAGAAGAAACCCAATGAGTGGCTATATGAAAAAAAATTGAGAGAATTCAAACACCCCATGGTGCATGGACAATATAAAACTAACTAGTCATCACGATAACCTTTTAGCCTTTGACTTAGTTTTGCAAAATTTAAACACTGATATGAGCTATTCACAAAAAATGCTCTTGTCTCTGCAGTACCGTGTGTTTGGTTCACTGAGGTTTGTTACCCCATTCACCCTCTGATCAGATGTGTTTTCTCTTTAATAGAGCAGATTTTGCCAGGCTGCAAAAACAAAAACAAAAACAAAAGCAAAAATCCTATCTGAGGAAGTCTTCATGTTCCCGCTCCTTGTCTTACAGACCTGGATCCACATGCTGGTCATTGTTGGTAGCATCTTGTCTTATTTTGTCTTCACCTTGGCTTTTGGAGCCATGTGTGTAACGTGCAACCCACCGTCCAACCCCTACAGGATTATGCAGGAGCACATGCTGGACCCAATGTTCTACTTAGTTTGTGTCCTCACAACTTGCGTTGCTCTTCTACCCAGGTACGGTATTACCATCACGAGAGTAAGTTAAACCATAGGTGCAGAATTCTTCAAGCAACTGCAAAGAATGGATGGCATTCCCTCCTGTTTAGTAGCAGAGGGGTCAGTCTGTGTACTAGTTAAAATACTGGTTTTAACTCTTTTACCAGGGAACAAATGTGAAATAAGTAAACTGGAAGATTTATTTCCCTCTCATGGATAACTCTCATCTATTTGGCAGTTCACAGTGATAGGGCAGCTTTGCTTCACAAGGCTCTCCAAGGACCTAGATGCTTTCTTCTGTCTTTTTGCTCTACCGCCTCCCAAGGGTGTTGCCCTCTTAATGCGAGATTAAAGATGACTCACCATCAGCATATCCACAGCCCTGCTTGCCGGAGGGAAAACGGGGAAAAGGGAAAGCAAATTTCCTTTCTTTTTTGGGAATGGCTCAGTCCAGAAGCTATACGTATCATTGCTCATATCCCATTAAATAGAACCTAGGTATGTAGACTCTAAGGTTAAAATCTAGGGGTTTCTAAAAGGAAGAGGGGGTGAATGGGTACAGAGGGACAAGTTAAGAGTCTCTACAACAATTGGTAAACACTGTAGTAGAGACACCTTCTCTCCCTGATCTGACTTCAGTTATCTTTCCCATTTTAGTTTAACTTGATTTCTAGTATTGTATGGGATAGAAATGGCCCAGAGGTATGCATGGGTTTTTAATCTATAGATTCTTTGAAATCTGTTGGAGCTCTTCCTCTTTAGAATTTTATAAAAATCTGCTTAGCTGAAAAATACTATAACAGATAGTTGTTCTACCCTTTTAAATATGATATGAAAGTCAAAATGGTGATTTCATATTGTTTTCAAACAGGGTTGACAAACTGTGGTTTATCAACCAAATCTGGCCCACTGCCTGTTTTTTATAAATGAAGTTTATTGGAAAATAGACATATACATTAACTTATATTTTGTCTCTGGTTGCTTTTGTACTACAACAGCAGAGCTGAACATTTCAAACAGAAATTATCTGGCTTGCAAAATCTGAAATATTACTGTCTGGACCATTGGGTAAATGTATTCCACCCCTAATCAGTAACACCATCATAAGGCACACTCGGCACAAATCCTCTGTGGCCGATAGACATCCTAGAAATGCATAAGAAAAATGCACCTGGATCATCCTATGTTGGTGTTAGTTGTATACTTAACATTATCCCTGTTAAGTTGAGATGCTTATGTGGTGCTCACTATTATCACCAGCTTTCAGATTAAAAACTGACAAGGTGAACTGAAGAAACAATTACTTTAATGTTATAAACTGAAAAATGTCCTTCAAGAGAGTTAACAGTATAATCTTATTCCATATTGTTGTGGTAGGCTGAAAAAAAATGACCCCCTAAAAGATATCCATGTCCTAATTCCTGGAACCTGAGAATGTTGTGGTTTTTGTGTATGTAGCAAAAAGGGACTTTGCAGATGTGATTAAGCTAAGGATCTTGAGATGGGGAGATTATCCTGGATTATCCAGGTGGGCCCTAAATGTAATCGTAAGTGTCCTTGTAAAATAGACACAGAGAGAGATTTGACTACAAACAGAAGAGGAGAAAACACTTCGGCCATGGTGGCAGAGATGCTCTGGCACCACGGTGTTGGAAAGGCCAAGCTCCAATAGATTTCAAAGAATCTATAGATTAAAAACCCATGCATACATGTGGTGGGAACTTGATAATGGGGTAATCTAGTAACCACAGTGTTGCTCATGTGATTGTATATTAATGATACCGAAATAATAAACAAACGAACAAACAAATTTATTTATTTGCTTGTTTGGTTTTTAAATTAAAATATAAATTTAAAAAACCCATGCATACTTCCTGGCCATTTCTATGCCAGAGAATTTCAAGGATTGTCGGCAGCCACCAGAAACTGGAAGATGCAAGAAATGGATTCTCACCAAGAGCCTCCAGAGGGAGGTTGGCCTTTCCAACACCTTGATTTTGGTTCAGTGAAACTGTTTTCAGAATTCTTGGCCTTCAGAACTATGAGAGAATAAATTTTTGTTTCTAGGCAATCAGGTTTATGGTAACTTGTTACAGGAACCATAGGAAACTAATACAGACTTCTGTACCAGGAAGATAGGAGCTGTCATGGCATACCTGAAATGTGAAAGTGGCTTTGAAATTGGGTAATGGGCAGAGGATGGAAGAATTTTGAGGCACTTGATAGAAAAATAATGGACTTCCTTAGACTGTACATAGAAATATGGACGTTAAAGCTCCTGCTGGCAGGGATTCAGAAGAATGTGGGAAGTGTGGATACGGAAAGCCTTATCATCTTAGAAAATACATCTAGGGTCATAAACAGACTGCTGCTAGAAATACGAATGTTAAAGGTAGTGCTGGTGAGAACTCAGAAGGAAATGAAGAACATGTTACTGGGTATTTGAAGAAAGGAGATTTTTGCAGTATAGTATAGTAGTAGAAAACAGCTTAATTATATTCTACTGTTAGGTGGAAAGCAGAATTTGTAAATGAGGAACGTGGATATTTAGCTGAGGAGATTTCTAAGCAAGTTGTTGAAACTCTGGTCTCATTTCTTCTTTCTGCTTATAGTAAAATGTGAGAGAAAAGAGATTGAGGGAAGAACCATTAAGCCCAAAGGAACCAGATATAGGAAATTTTCAGCCCATCCTGATTTCAAAAGTTGCTAAAATTAGGAGATTGGCTGTTGAGAGGTTTATTCTAGGAAGAAGGCCAAGAATTAGCTGGATAACCTGTTGCTAATGCTGAAGAGATTAGGTGTGTGACTCACAGATGCCCTCAACCACCTCAGCAGCCACCAGAAAAGGAGATGGGATTATATAGAAAAGACCTGTGGAGAATAATCTAATAACATAAATCCCCATGACATACACTGATGACCCATAAGGTTTTTGAGAATGCAATAGCAGCATAAACACTGCCAGCTTGGACTGAAAGGGACGGATTTGTGATAATTTGTTACACAGAACTCTTAATAGCTAGCATTTTTTGAACACTTACTGTTTATACTCTTCCTGCTTTATATGTATTACCTCATTTAACCTAACATCACATCTATGAGAAAGCACTATTGGTATCTCAACTTTTATAAATTTCATTTTTTTATTAATTTGACTAGCACATATAGGGCACTCACTATTTTCTAAATGCTTTATAAATAGTAGTTTATTTAATATTGTTATTATCTCCCTTTTTTAGCTCACTTATCCTTCCCCTTTACCTCAAGGAGGCAAGTAGCCACCAGACCCTTTTTCCTAATTGCTGAGTATATTTTATGACCCATGATTCATTTGATGTGAATGTAATTCTATGATGCTTTTTGTAACCTAGGTTTATATACCGCATTCTTCAGGGATCCTTGTTTCCATCTCCAATTCTGAGGGCCAAGCACTTAGACAGACTGATGCCAAAGGAGAGGACGGAAGCTCTCAAGAAGTGGAGAGGGGCTAGAAAGATGACTCAAGTGACATCTAAGTATGCTGATTACTCAGCTGACAAGTCAGAGAGAAGACCTATGTCTGGTCCTTCTGCTGTCTTCGCAATGATGCCAGCAACTTCTTGTGCTGTTGAGCAAAGAAACTTATCTCTATGTGAAACTGCTTTAGACTCAGACTACTCTGAAACTAAGGCCTCAGGGATGGCTGAACCCTCAAAGGGTTAAAAAAATATGGTACCCTACTTGGGGTTGCAAGTATTCCTTCAGGTTTGGAAGAGGAACTTCGAAGAGGCACCTCCACTAATCAGGGATGACTTGGATTTTCCTTAAGGTGCATGAACATTTTACTGGACTTGAAGGAGTGAATGTGATGACCTTTATTGTATGTTTATAGATACATTTGTAAAAGAGGTTAGAGTTTGACCTGGACAGCATTTAGGGAAGTGAAATATTTAATTCAGAATTAAATGCTTTTATGAAACTTTTTGGATTTTGTAAAAGTATTTTAGTTGTCTTAGAAATGCAAACATTTTCAAGGGGATTCATTTGAGATATATTTATTTTACTGGGAGAGCTCTGATTCCAGGGAAATGCTTTGAATGAGCATACTCTAATTGAATGATTTTAATTAAGAAAACAGTGTTTAGATTGATTAGTTAGAACTCAGAGGAAATTTCCACATGAAAAAAATGTTATCAATGGTTTACAGAGAAAAAATTACCAGGAGCCTTTTAAACAACAATGTATCCAAAATTGGGTAATAATTCTACTAGTTGAAATATAGCTAGCAATTATTAATAGCTTTTTATTTCCTTTGGTCTTCTGACTGAAGATGTTAGGCACACCTCTCTGCTCATTTCAGTGTTCTCCTGAGGAGCCTGTATTGGCAGGGGTGAGGGATACCAAGGTTCCATAGGAATGTGTTCTTCTCTCGGCTTCCAGTCAGAAGATGACCTTTTATGAGGTCTGCCTTTGTGCAGGTGTTATCAGCTGGGAAACAGAGGCCAAGGTAAGGAAGAGAGAATCAACTGAGTCTACAGCCCCTTTGGCAATTTTCTATATTCTGAAACTGACAAAAACATGATCAAAATGAGGCAATTTAAAAACAATCTCAAGAGACTATTTGAGGGTTCATAGTCTTTAAAATACCCAACAACTTTTCTTATATTGTAACCTCTAAAAATGAGGTATTATAATTTGAGACTAATACAAGTGATTCTCAGAGGATCCCATGAGATTCTTAGAAAAAAAAAATTACTTTTGAAAATATTTTAGGACAGAAATGTCTAAAGCCAAGTAATTGCTGCTGTAAATCATGTAAACTGGCTTTAGTTGGACCAAAGAAACTAATGTTCCATGTCTAAATCAAGGTCTTCTTAACGACTATTAAACTATTATTCTCAGGGTTCAATATTCTACCTGCTACCTACTGTCCTGGTCTGACACTTTTTGTAAACTTCTGTTATTGCAAATAGTCTTTTTTATATAGACTTATTTCTAGAACTTTCAAAATCCCATAAGGCTAATGGAGGTTGTGTTCTGTTTTCTTATGATTTTTTAAAAAATAAACTGTTTGGCAAATAACGTATGAAAACTGTCATCACTCCTATAGATAAAAGCAGCACTTGATACCAGAACTTAGATGAAAATCCCAAAGCGCACCTTTTACTGGAATATTGTTTTGGCCTTTTCTTATATGGAAAAATCAGTGATGTCATATCATCTATTATCCTCATAGCAGCTGTCATTCATTCCCTGAGATCATCATCTCCTGGTAAATAAAATTCTAGAGATACACTCATTTGTAAATAAAGGGTTGGAATCTAAGGATGAAAAGAATGAGCCAAAAAGAAAAAAAAAAGTCGGTCTCCAAGATGTGAAGTGTCTGTACATATGAGTCGAGTCTTGAGTATTCATGTTATGAGTCCACAATTTCAAAACCCCATGAGCTGTGAAACTGAAAATTGCTTCATAAATTAGGTACAAATTCAGTGTCCTAAACAGATGTAAGGCTATTTATTTGATATAATTATACATGTATGTTGCTACAAAAAATATTTATGTATTTTATTACTGGGTGCTAAACTGTATTATGTTTTTAAAATCTTGAAAAATTCTTGTTTTGGAAACACATCTCCTGTCAGGCAAAAGAGACTTGGAAACTGTATTAAACCTTTTAAAGGGTCTCATTTACAAGTGAATAGCTCTTTTACAAAAAGTTATCCAAGGTGATGCTATCTGTTGCACTTGGGTATGTTCAATATTTCACTAAATTTAGGGGGACCAAGCATTATATCATTGCTCCTGGTAGCCAAGAAAAGTTGATCAATAGGACATATTTTGAGATATCATTTTATCCTGAAAGATTTATAAAAGAATTAGATCAGGTTCCCACAATGTACTCTAGGCGTTAAAGATTCCTACACTTCTACCAAGGCTGTTTTTCTTGAAAACTCAAATCACAAATGAGTGATTTGGGACTATTACCAACCTCTCATTTTAGACTGATCAAGGAGCCATCTGTCACCTAAAATGATAGAACATGTTCCTGTGAGAGTGATGTGAGACAGGTAAATTCTGATTGTTGGGGAGCTGGGTGCCAACTATTACAGTGGGGGACACAATTTTCTGGGACTTGCTATCCATGTTCCATTCCCATAAAAAAAGAGTATGCCATTTTATTTGTGTTGAGGGTTATTTAAAATAAGTACAATATGAAGGTAAGTTGAACGAGGCTAAAAGTTGTTACATTAAGTATATACCTACAACTAAGGCAAAACTGACTGTATGTTCTTCAATTTTTACACAATTGTGATTGCAAATTCACATTCTCAGTAGGGTTATATAAACTACACAACAGGAGATAAATAACATGGGAAATGTCAAGACAACTTTTTGAAATTGGAATATGTGTACACATAGAAAAGAGTGCAAAAATAGATGTAGAAAATAAATTGCAGGTAGTCTCTCCATGGAATGCTGAGGCCATCCAGGCTGCTGATGGAGGTGAGGGAGGGAATCCTACTTATTCAAAAGGCATTTGAATGTTGAAAAATGGATGCCTATTAAATTAGGTACATTTGAGGAGTTGTGGTTTGAAGCTTTTTAGTGGGGAAAAACATTTTCATAGCCACAAATTATTTCAGGAATTCATGTGTCTAAAGTGGTCTAGTACTTAAAAACATTGTTAAAATTTTGTTTTAATTATCAGTGGGAAGAAATGGCAACACTGAATTTAAACATCTTTCTAGGAAAAGTCACAAAATATTTTACCATTGTAGAGTCTTACTGGGCTTTGAGATATTATTCCTTGCCTTTATTAGTATGGGTAAACGCAGGAAAACTGGAATATATTGATTTGGAGGTCGAATGCAATTTAAAATTCTTTTTTAAAAATTGTATCTCTCCAGTCTAAAGCAAATGCTCCTTTGACAGTTTTATCTCAACTTCACTAGCACAGAGGCAGAACAAATATTTCCCATGAAAATTTTCCTACTTGGAATCTGTCAGCCGACTGACATCAGCCATATGGAAGGTTCTGTGGAGGCTTTTGTACAAAATTAATCCTTGATTTAAATTCCAAATGGACAGGGCTATAATGTCAGGTGCTAATGATGATGTCTAAAGAGCTCTGTGTCCAAAATGTCTTGCTATTTCAGCTACCTAGCTGGATGCTAATTGCTTTTGATCCCTGTCTTTCATACATTCTCAGAATTATGCAATTTTTGGAAGAGTAACAGTAAATTATTTAAACAGGTAAATTATCTTGGCTTTTAATAAATCAAAGGCAAGTCTCCAAAGTTAATATTGAAATTTGCCACTCTGCTCCTGTGCTTGAGAAACAGAAGCTGTCCAAGATTAGTCAGCCTGGATCTCGATGGCCCTTTTGTCATTAAAGGGAATTTTCTGTAACCCATTACTCTAGTGGCTTCATTATTCCAATTCTCTCCGGAGTTGGTAATTTCCTGCTGCAGTCAAGGTTCAACTTGGTAAAAGAACAAAATCTGCTTGGCTTTGTTTTTGTTTTTTTAAAGCCTTTCATTGAACTTGAACTAAGAGGAAAACATAAAAAAAAAAAACTGAATAAAATTTAACCAAAACTAATACAAAAATTTGCAGCACTGTTGAGTACCCTGCCCATGAAAAGTGCTTCTGCACAGTTCTCTGCAGGAAAGCTCTCCACAGTCAAGAAAGCCATTTTCTCTGAGCGTGGCTGGCAAACATCTCTGATCACCTGTGGAATTAGTTCAGGAGAAATGTGTGGATATATATTTGTCTTTCAATCCACTCAACGAAGTATGACACGTTGCTATAAACTCCAGGTCCCAGGACTTTGGAAAAGCAGACGGAGCCCCACGAAGTTAAACCAAATAATGTCCACTGTCCTCCAGGCCGCTCACAAACAAGAGGCCCACCACTGTCACCCTGTAACGAACAGCAGTGGACATTAGTCACTGGTATTTCAGAGGCGTCATGGTGTCCATGTTATCCTGAGGGTACAAGAAAGCCAAACCCAGCTTGACCAACTCTTTGTTGCTTGGAAAATTTCAACAAAGTGTCATTATCAATCTGTGAGGGAATGTGTTTTCCACTGTGTAAATGGAACTTTCAAATTAACATTTTAAACCCTGATCTTTAAAAGGATGGGGGTGCCTTGGGAAAGGACTATATATTTTTTTTCTGTGAAATCATATTTTTCAGTCATCTCCTGCACTTACCAAAATAGGTCATAGAATTTTTTTCAGTTTAGTGTATCAGAACTGATTCTTTCAAAATTGATCTCATTCTTCAGCTTTGATTCATCTTATAAATGTAGAACAAATGGAATATTCAAAGATTGTTTTTGCCCACAAAACAGTACTAGAAAAATTCTAAAGTATCTCTCCACTTTCAAGATTCTTGCTATGTGAATGAATGCAGTAAAAGTAAAATACACTCAAGGACCACTTGCTGCATTTTTTAAATAGTTACTAGGACTTCTTCAATTAGCATACTTGAATGGAAAATACCATGTAAGATTTATAGTAAGATACTTCTTTATAGCCTGATTTTATTTCATTTGCATAGAAATTTTCATTCTTGATATTTAAAAATGTATAGATATTGCAATTGAGTTTTACTTCTTTCCTCCACATAAAATTAATGGTAAGATACAACAGCTTTATAAACTGAATATTTGCTACATCTAAAACTATCAGCATAGGTTAGAGAGGCATGACCTCAAAAGAGAAGGATTGACAACCTAAAAAATACGGAAGTAAGTATATGAATTCATGGTGGAAATTTACAAATACTCCTTGTCCTGCAAACATTTCCAACTTGGAAGTATTCAACATCTTCCTACCTGGTGATGTTGGAGAACAATAGTAATCATGTTTATTGATGCTCTTCTAAACACTTTCCCTATTTCATAAGGCTCCTTTAATCCTTATGAAATCCCTATGAGTTGATGATAATGATGATGAAGATACAATAATAATAATGAAACAGAAGCACAAGTGTAATGGTTCATTGGCAGAGCTAGGATTTAAACCCAGGCAGTCTAGTTTCATGGCTCCACCTCTGTAACTACTAGGCTATCTTCTTAGAAATGTTTGTGAATTCTATTGCTATTAAAACAAAATTGAATTTTGATTGTGCTGTATGGTCTTATGAAAATAGTGATCCTTACATTCATAACTTACCAATGCCATAAACCTAAATAATAAGCATACACTTTGCCAGGAACTGAATAAATTGCTCTGCCTGAAGCCTGATAGACTTTTTTAAGCCAAATTTACTAGAACATTCTTATTAGACATATTCCACAAATATTTTCAGCTCCCTTAATATGAAAGAAATACTTAATAAAAAAGAAATAAGTTGCTGACTTATTTAGGTTGAGCTATTTGTTATGCCAGAGAGTTATTAAAATGGGACATACTTATGTTGCCTCTAAAAGAAGCCTTTTCAGAGGAGAATGGGAAAGGGTGCATGAGAACTTGAGAATTCACTACTCAAAGATATTGTAAATAAAATAAATTTAACTTGCACTTAAAAAGGGGTGGGGTGGGGGCATGTTTACAGATCAGCATTGCTACATTTCCAGATCAGAAATTTAGCCAAATAATTACTTAGCATATACTCTTTGCAAGATTCTGTGCCAGGATCTACAGAGATGCAGGAGGCACTGTTTTGTCCCTATGGAGCCAAAGTCCACTTGGGTAACAAGAATATACCTCCATGAGAGCAAAATCTAAGGGTGATTAATAAAGGAGTCTTCAAAGATATATGAGTGATTACTTCCAGCTAGAGAGGAACAAAAAGCACCTCCCTAAGAGGTGAATTTTGAGCCAGGCTCAGTGAGGCAGGTAGACATTTGTTAGGTGGAAAACTAGAGGTAAAGAAGAAGCAGTTCAAAACAATGGGAGAATACAGCCAGACACGGTTTGTCTCGTCTGTCTCTGGGGTGACTTTTCTTTGTAAATATAGGACTTTAGGCCAAAGTTTATGTTTGGCTTCCATGTTGATCCCCATGATTTTTAGACATTAGCAGAAAGACCCATGGCTTCCCATGGCTTCCCATGTGTGCTGATGATGCAATTAAGGAAGATAATGAGAAGTTATGGTAAATAATTTTGCACCAGACCTGGAAAAGGTAGCTTTTGTTAGTTTTGTGTTTTGCTTTGTTTTCTATTTAGAGTTGTATTAAAAAAACATCTGTATGTATTTAAGATACCCACAGTGCTGAATTCCCCCTCCTAAAAGTTGGCAGGACCTGCTTCTTATTAGACATCATGACACAAACATGCCTGTACATGGGTCTGTGACTGGGTCTTCAATTCTTTCAAAGAATCACCTCCCTGCCTCTCCTCAGCAATGTCCAAGAGACAAAGAGGCATTAGTTTTGGGTAGAACTCCAAATCATGTTGGGGACAGGGAGAAATGTATTCATATTAATTGTCGCTACTAGGAGAACATAGCGCTGAGTACCTAGACCCTGAAACCAGACGTCCTGGGTTCATATCTTCACTCTGCCACCTGCATGCTGAATGGTATGGGGGAAATTATATAACCACTGTTTCTTGATATATAAAATAGGAAAAACATATTGCCACAAGGGGGTGATTGTGGGAATTAAATGAATTATTAGACAATTTAAAGAGATCCCCGAACACAATAAGCACCAACTGGTAGATGTTAATATTCATATAGTTACTATTCATTAAATGTATGTGCCAGACATCACAGACAAATATGTAAAATATAGGGGCTTTCACATACATTAACTCAGGTTATCCTCAAAACACCCTGCAAATTAAATTACAATCAGCCCTATCTTACTGGTGAGAAAACTTTCTAGAGAGGCTAGGTAACTTCTCCCAGTCACACTGTTCTTGCTGGCAGAGATGGGGTCCAACCCGTACCTTTCAGGCTGAAAATCCCCCACACCATCTGCCTCCCAAAACATTTTTCTTTTTTTTGGCTTGGGAAATTGAACCTGGGCCTCTTGCATGGAAGGCAGGATTCCTCTACCACCACCCACCTCCACCGAGTGACTGGTGGCTGGGAGGCAGACAGTGATCTCCGTGACACTCCAAGGGAGCAGCCATCCTCTCTCTCATGACAACTGCCGAAGGGGGTCACCACTGGGCTGTGGTGATTTGGGGATTGGGCTGTTTCCAATCCCCTGATTTGCCCATTCTCAAATGGGCCACCAAAAAACCATTTTATTATGTTGTATTAGCAGTAGTAGCATTGTTGCATCTCTTCAGTTCCAAAATGGAGGGGGATAACTTTCTACTCCAAAGCAGTGAAGTAGCAAGGGTGCTTCTAACAGTGTAGTACAGCCAGGCCACTATAATATTCAATGAGTGTTTCTTAAGCAAAAATAAAAATGCTTCCCTGCCTCGCTTAGTTAGCGTGCTCTGCAGACGACTGTGACTTAGTGATTCTGGGTGCCTAAAGGTCATGTTCATGCTATCAAGTACACACCCAGGCAATGCCAGAATGATAACTCCTGAGGCAGAGTTCTGCCCAACACCCTGGGAATTGAGGTGCTGTATGTTTTTAATCCCATCATGCTGATGGCTGAAAACATCCATCAGTGTCCCTCCGCTCCCTGCGGCAGCCCCGTTGGAAACATGGTCACCACTAGCTCCTCTTAGAATCTTGTTTGTTCTAGCTGCTAAAATGGCTGAGTGACAAGAACTAGAGCAATCATCTTTCCTCCTGCTGCTGACCCAAGCAAGGCTCCCCTGCAGTAGACGAGAAAGCTGAAGGCACCCCGAGTGAAGGGCGTGGAGGAAGTTAGGGGGATAACCTGGATTTCCTAGGTTGAAGGAAAACACACTGTGAAAAACTAAAAATTTGGTTAATACACGATTGTCAAAAAATGTTCCCAAAAGACCACCACATGAATAGTAATGTATTTCTATGGATACATTAAAGTTACTGCTGAACCGAATCTCCTCAGTAACCAAAAAGCAGTTTACCATGCATGAGTCGACTGTGCCAGACTCATATCCGGCACATATCATCCGAGTGGTGATGGTCTTCATGTCGAAGTAGGACTGACACTGCTCCAGAGAAATGATGCGGACTTCTCCCTCTTGCAGCTTAAAAGGCACTGGATATTTTTTAAAAGAGGAAGAGATAAAATATATGAGGGTAAAATGACCCAAACTGAGGCTAGCCATACACGGCATGATTACATTTTTATACCAAAGGAACCGTATCTTTATTTAAAATGTCATTTCAAAGACAAGGCTTGTTTGGAATCAATATTTTCCAATGAGAAGTGTTGATAGGCATCACCTAGTCAAACCTCTACTTTATTTATGAGAAAACTGAGATTCAGATAAAGTAAGTAACTTTGTTAGTTTAACTTGGCTCGTGCTTTCCTCCTCTTAACTTAGGCTGCAACCCAAACAACAGCTACTACCGTGAAAATAAAATAATCAAACCACAGCTCTGTCCTGGATAGGAGGCCACCAGCTCTGTCAGCTCGGCGGGTCAACCCTGCTCTGCTAATGCAGCCGACACCTATCCTTAGTTTAAAGAACATGTCTCATCATGTGCTACAGTAGCCATTATTTGAAGTAAGAACCTTCAATCCTGAGACCATCAATCCTAGAAGCTATTGTGGGAACAATACAAGGAGAGGCCATATAAAGTAGATTCTGCTGCTCCACCACATCACAGTACTAATTATAGCTTTTAAAAACCAAGATGCACAGGACTGATGATGTCATATGTCCTACACTGCCTCCAAAGTTCTTAACGCATGTGCTTTTCAGAAGTCATTGACCTATTTCTGTTTTATCTTTCTGTCCTCAATTGATCACAGAGAAAGGAAACTCAGCTCAAAACTTACCTGACTACATTTCAAGAAAAAAAAAAAACATTGTCCTTCAAATTGGTACTTACCAAGGTAAATAACAGAACACCGATATCCATCACTATCACGAGAGAGCCATGGCAGTAAGCTTGATATAGTCGGAGTGGCCAGCACTTACCATTAAAGAAAATGTCTCATTGATTAAATTCTTATTCTAAGCTTGTAATAGGTCAAGCAAAATGACAGAATCCACTATGGCAGCTGGGGGTAAGTAGTACAAATTTTTACATTTCTGTGTTTTATATATTTAAGTCATCTAGGGAGCCACACTACTTTAATTGATTTCAATAGGCAGATAGCAAATCACTTTTCTTTCTAGTAGGAGTTACAGGTCCTACAGATGTCGGCAAGACCAAAGCATAACATGGAGTCAGAAATGTGGCGGTGCAGCTTGTCTGCAGGAGCAGAGCTGCCTCACCGCTAGTCAGGGGCTCCCAGGGACTCTGCCTGCAGACAGGGCAAACCCCTGATAGAGACGATCCAAAAGCAGGGACGATGGATGGGTCTCACCTTGCCTGCCAGCTCCAGAATACTGACAGGGGCTCTTGGGAAAAAGATTCTGAGGTGTGGAGAAGGATTTTTTTCAGGTTGTACCCGAGTGTGGCAGATTTAAGTGCTATGATGAAGTACTGAAATCTGCCATTGGCATGGAAGGGACAGCTGGTCAAGCATTTCCCGGCTATGTACTTGTGACTATACTTTTATGAGTGAAAATGCGAAATTATTACCAAAGGCTAAGAAGTACCCTGATGTGTTTCAGTTACAATTTGAAAGGCAAGTGCTCATGAGGATCCCGGCTTACTTTTGTTGCCCATGTGGCCCCAGCCTGTGATAAAGCAGTATGTATCAGGTTCTAGCGACTGCTCCGGGCTGGGTAAGCAGACTGGCCGGACGTAGCTCGTTTCATTGACGTCTTCGCTTAGCTCCACTATGCTGATGTCGTAGTCCACGACAGCTCGGCTGTAGCGAGGGTGCAGGATGATGGTCTTCACCAGGCGCGTCTGCATGAAAGTCGATGGATGGTCTAGATTGTTGATGCCAAACACCACCCTCCAAACGGCAGCATTCTCTCGCCTAAAATAAGAATTCAAGAGCCGTTGGCATCTTAAATTCAGATTCCTATTTTAAAATTGACATGTGGTTTTTAAAATATTTATGTAAATAATGTTTCTGTGCCCATTTCTCAATGTATTTGTAATAAGAAGCATTTATATAACAGCCTGAGCAATTCGTAAATAGCTGTTGTTGGGGAAAGCACTAATGGCTCTTGCGTGGGGCTATTCTGGAGAATAAAATTTTTCAGTTTGAAAGGCAGGCAGGATAGTTATCTTTGCTTCATTGAGTAGAAAAATAATGAAAAGACATGAAGAGAGAGGAAAAATGAAAAAGAAGGAAAATAAAAAGGCAAGGCTAAGAGATTCCTCCAAAAAAGGAGTGAGTGCCTCAGAGAAATGGCACATTTTCAGGAAAGCTCTCTGAAAGTTTCAAGCCAAGGGTTAAAAAGATCCCCCACAACTGAGATGGTCAGTCAGTCTTAGACTTTATTGTATTTGACCACCTGTCAACAATATACTAGGCAATTCTCACCTTGAAACGCCTCCCTCCCTGGGTTTCCAGGACTCTCTGTTCTAACATTTCCTCCAACCTCAGAGCATTTCCGCCCTCTCAGGCTTCTCTGCTGGGTCCTCCTCTGCTCTCAGTGTCTGTACTGAAGTGCCTCAGGACTCTACCTTCAGCCTTCTCATTCCCTACTCATCCCCATGAGAATTTCATCTAGTCCAGGGGTTTAAATACCATGCACACCCTGCTGTGTCCCGTCTCCATGCTGAGCTGCAGACCTGAAAGCCCAAATCTATTCAACAGTACTCATTTGGATGTTTCCTAACAGTAAGATTTACTGCATGCTTACTACTTATCTAAGCATTCAGAATTCATTTCACAGCTATTTAATACTTACATCCACTAGTTACATAGTTGAATCTTCTCTTTTTCTTTTACCCAACATTGAACGCATCGCAAATCTTCGCCACTCCGCGTCAGGCGTATCCTGACTGCTGTTGATTCTCCCTCCTCCACCCTGCCTCCTAATCTAAGCTACTCTCCTCTATTTGGACCACAGCAAAGGCCTCCCAAATGGCACCCCTTCTTCTAGTCTTAGCCCCGATAACCCATTTTCCTCACAGCAGCAGAGGGATCTTTTAAAACATAAAATGAGAGCAAGTCCATCTCCTGCTCATAATTCTCCAAGGACTGTGAATCACACTTGGGACTCCTCTTCATGGCCTCTGAGCCCTAGGCAATCTCCTCTATTCCAACCCCATGGCATTTCTGTTTTTGGACATGCCAAGTACATCCCCAACTCAGAAGCTTTTCTCACAGCTCTGACATGGTTCCCACCTGTACTGTTCTCTTCATCCAGGTGTCAGCTTAAACATCACCTCCTCAGAGCTGTCCTCCTTGACCACCTTGTCTAGCCCTGACTCTTTACCCATCTCTCTATTCTTGATCTTGCTTTAATTTTTGGCTCATATTACTCTTTGATATTAATGACACTGACACATCTACTTGTCTATTCTCTGCCTCACCCCAAGAATATAAGTTCTGTGGGGACAGGGACTTGGCTGGTCTTGTTCACTGCTGTGTTCGCAGGGCATGCAGTGGGTTCTCAACAATATCTGTCTAATGATGGCTCCATGGATGTTGTTTCATACCATTTATGAGTGGTATGAAATCCAACCACCTATGCAAGGTCTATTCTTCCTCAATCTCTCAGACCCCTACTCCATTGTATTCCCCCCTCCTCCAGGGCGGACCAGGACCCAAGGCATAAAATTTAGAGGACCACAGTGTTGGAGGGTTGGGCTTTCATAGTGGACCCTCCTTTATGCTTTGGTAATGTGGGCCAGCCTTGCCGCCGCTGTCCCTGCTTGGGAGCTCCCCCAACTAAAGTAGATTGATTTGACCAGCTAGACCTGTTGGTTCTCGAAGGCTGAACCCTGAACTATCTGGGGAGATTTTCTGGGTCTTATCCTATACCAACTGAAAGCTTTTGGGCCAGGGCCTGGTAATCAGTATTTTTAAGAGCTCCCTAGGGAGTCTCAGACAAAACCCACCCACATTCCTTCTTTCCTTGACATGCCTTTCTTTTTCTTCACCATCTTTTCATGCATGGCAAAGATTCACAAGGCTGAGATTTCAGGAGGGTCAGGAAAGAAGGGGCCACAGCCAGCATTCAAGCTGCTAACAGCACTGCTGGGTTCTTGCACTAGGCTACTAAAAGCCTCTGCTTCACAGCCCTTGCATTCTATCCTTTCTGCATTGTATAGAAAAACAGTGTTATCAGAGCAGGAATCAATATCATTCTTTGAATATAGATACATATATATAACAATTCCTCCATGCCAAGTTTTGTACTAGGGAGTACGCTAATGAAAAAAATCCCTGCCCACATACATTTTAGAATTGAGTAAAAATGGAAAATTAAGGAAACAATTAATAAGTAAAATGCAACAAATGTTATTTCATGTGCATCACAAGACATGTTACAGAAGAATTATTTTTCATTAAATAAAGCCATCATTCAAAGCACATTTCTTCCCTCCCTCCCTCCTTTTTTTCTTCAGTCTTTTCTTTCCTTCTCCCTCTCTGTTCCCCTTCCTTCCCTCCTCTTCTCTCTCTCCTCTTTCCTCCCTTTCTCCTTCCTTTCCTCCCTGTCCTTTTCTCCTTGTTTCTTCCTTTTTTTTTTTGTCAAGAGGAGTAGGTGCATGACCACTTGAGAAACTTGATATTCATGTGAGATTCTATTATTTAAGATACAAGACATCTGAAACCAAATAATAATTTATTTAAAATGTTTGCCTATCTAATAGCTTCTTGCTTTGAATCAGAGCTAGTAAATTTTGGGTTTAACAAATGCTCATCCATTTGCTTAAGTCCCAAGAAGTATTTCAAACAGTGGAACACTGCAAGTTATTTTTAACAGATGAAATAACATAAAATTACATAAAGATGAAAAAATAATAGATGTGATAAATGTAACAGATGAAGTAACATAAAAAATCCTAGACTTAATTACTATACTGGAGTTAATCTAATTCTAACAGTAAAAAATAAGTGTCAGTAAAACTGCTGAATGTTATTCACTTGTATCCAGTAGTCTCCTGCTACATAAGTGACTATCCTTATGGCATTAATATCCACCCAAACCATGCAAATGGTAAGAGTACACAGTAAATTCACACAATTTTTGTATTCATTGAGGATATTGTTCTTCTTTCTGTTATGAATATAGTGGGGAAAATAAAGTCTCTTTTAAGGTTTTTTTTTTTTCCAAGTCTGGGAGAAAACAGGAAGAACAACAATCTGTTGCTTGAAAGGAGTGCCTGAGAATAAAGAGCTGTGTATACATGGCGAATTGGTATATTAAGCACGTGATGAAAAGAGTAAGCCGGGAGTATGGGCTGTCACATCCCCACCTGGGTGGGGGCGAAAAGAAGAAAGCGAGCTGAGGGCCATCTGAAAGCCCTAGCAGTGAGTTCCAGTTCAAGAGTACCCAGAAGGGAAACACATAGGGCAAGCTATGTTCATATGGCCATTTTAGTGGAAAGAGTTAAACTGTGCTACAAAGAAAAAAAGCCAGGTAAACTAACTGAAAATCTTCAGCATAAAGGGGACTGTTTTGCACTGAGCCATCAGACCTCAAAGCTGCAGCAAGGAGAACTGGTGCATCCTCAGAGAGGTTTGTGCAAAGACCCTTACTGCTCCGAGAGTGAGGAAGCAGGCTGAGGGCAGGTGAAAAACCACCAAACACAACGCCAGTGGTGAAGGAGGACATCAGCAGACCTTTTTCTCCTTTCATTCCTGCTCTAGATGATATTTCATTACTTGAAATTCACCTTTAGGGTCTAATTTGCTTCATGCCTATACTACTATTTTAATACTGAATATAGAGAATATTGAGATAGTTGACGTCAACCTGCTATTGTTCAATTACCAGCTCTAGAGAGCAAACCCAGCTGTTTACATATCTCAGCTGCATGATGGCAAGCAAGGAAATGTATACATAATTGCAGGCATGAGGTTTCTAGACATAGTAACCAGTCACTCTGGTTTGCAATTTGCCACTCTCATCTCTGGGTTAGACATAAAAACACCACATCTTCACCTAATTTAGCCAACCAAGTTTAGAGATTTTTCTCTCTTTATCTTTTCTTAAGAGCACAGTATTTATCCTTTTGCTCTTCAGATTTTGCTTTAATCTCTCATATTTAATATTTAGCATTTTTAAGAAAATAAAATATTTATAATTAACAACTGTGATAGAAATTATCCCATGTTGTGAGTCTCCCTCTAGAAATGGCATAGCTAAGCAGCAATTTAGAGGCAGTTTGAAGGTTATCAAATTTGCACTGAGAAATGCCACACGATGGCATCATTGCTGTTCTACAAATCTTGTGAACCTCCTGCTTTTAATACTGTGCTTGCCCTTAGTATTTCTAAAGAATTCTCTGTAATGCACATGGTGAATAGACTAGAATAGGGTGACAACAAAGTAAACGCATGCAGAGGCTGAAGGTAAGTCCCTGTGTGGAGTGTCTAACCACAAGCTCTGCCATCTGGAGGGACACCTACCTCTCATCAGCTGCTGACCGCTGCTGTATGGGAATGCCCAGTGTGACCTCACCTGCCAGTTGTTCAAGGGAAGCCAGAGTTCTGGCTTTTATATAAAGTATCCACAGTTTTAAATACTGGTTATAAATTCAAAAAGGAATACACAGGCAAAATTAGATCAGCAGCCTGGATTCTTCATTAGTATAAGATCTCTACAGTTTTCCAAGTTATTTCCATACATGATACTTCAAATAATCCTCTCACCAGCTATGACACATACATAGGAATTGTTACTCCATTTCAGAGAGGAGAAAGCAGTGACTTGGAGAAGATTAAGGACTCATCTAAAGCCACAGTGATATAAGTGATGTAACAGATCAGATGCTGGTCCTTTAAACCTTTGAACCACACCCTTTCTACTAAACTTTTCCAAAACAAAGAGAAGTGTCCATAGGCACCAAAAC